ATCAAGCTCTTAAGCGAAACAGAGGCCAAAATATACCTGATTTATAATTTAATTTATTTTCTGCATTTCTGTAATCAATTGCTTTAACTCTATGAGGAATAAAATTATTATTTAAGTATCAAATCAAAATATTTTTAAATAAAACTTTAGCGTACATGTATTCAAATTAATTTGTAAGTGGAACAATAAAACAAAAAGAAAGAAAATGCACCCAAAAATCTAAAGAATGAAAAACAAAGCACGAAAAGTTCATTAAATTTCAGATCCCTAAAATTATACATACTTTTATTTATTCAGTGATTAATATTTATATTTAACAACAAATTATAGAAAATTTTTTTTAGCCCTTAATGTTAAAACAATTTTATGATTTAAAATAAATTTCACCGAATAAAACAAATTTTAATAAAATAAAATAAAAATTTTAAAAAATATTTATTAAAAAATGAGAACATAAAAAGTACTATTCACGCCTGTTCACCTCTTTTTTCAAAATGTTGTAATAAAATTGCAAAATTTATTTATTAATTTTAAATTAATCGACAAGCTGAATGAAATGGTGGATCAACACTTTTTATTATTCAAATTTACAATTATTATTGTTAATAAATTTTCAAGAAAACACAAAATATAAAAAAAAAATATATTCAATGAATTTAAAAGAAAGAGATAGAAAATGGTATATAACATGCATACATACACACAAACATAATATTGGTAAAATAACTGCATATTTTGCTTTTACTTTTTTTATTTTTTTTTATTTTTTTTTTTAATAAAATGTATGCACTTTGTATTGCAATATTTGATCAGTTATAAGATTTTAATAAAAGAGAAAAAAATAGATTTCGTTCATCTTATAAAACTGGTGATGAATTTTAATTTAATTAATGTTTGTGTTTGTACATATTTATATAGGTACATGTGTATTGGAATAAAATTGAATGCAATTGGTATTTGCAAATTTCAATTTACATTTACGTTTAATTATCGTTTTAAATTTTTTTTTTTTAAATTTTAGTTTTAATTTTAATATTTGAGCATTTAACAACCTGATCATTTCAGATTTTGCCTTTTCAATCACCTCTTCCAAATTGGAATTCTTAGATTTTTAACTGAATATGTAATTTTTCCATTAAGACTACACATTTTTTTAATTTTTTTTTCAAAATATCTACTGAAATCATCACCTGCAAACAACTGAACTTGTCACAACAGAGTGAATGAATAGTGATCAAATTTTTTTTGGATTTTAGAAAGGCGAGACAACCCTTAATATACACAATCAACCCTTAATATTCTGAAATATGTGATTATACCCGTACGAACGTATGTTCGAAGGGTATACTAAATTTGCCTTACCGTTTGTAACGCTAAGAAATAACGGTGTTAGATATAGACTCAAGTGTATGTTTTTGATCAGCGTCAAATTCTGAGTTGATTTAGCTTTGTCTGTCCGTCCGTCCGTCCGTCCGTCCGTCCGTCCGTCCGTCCGTCCGTCCGTCCGTCCGTCCGTCCGAACGATAACTCAAAAACTAATTGAGCTAAGTTCACCAAATTTTCACAAATGATTTATTGTAGTAAGTGCCAGAACCCTATTTAAATTGGACATGATCGGGGTACCGGTTCGGGTAGCTGTCATACAACTTCAAAATTTATTTGGCTATATCTCAGAAACTATAAAAGTTATGGTATTGAAATTTCACACAAACGAATATAATAGTAGGGCCAATGTGTCAGACAAAAGTCGTTGAAATTACTTGGCTCCTTCTGGTACCTGCCATACAACTTCAAAAGTTATTTGGCTATATCTCAGAAACTATAAAAGCTGTGATATTGAGATTTCACACAAGTAAATATATTAGTAGGGCCAATGTGTCTTGTAAAAGTCGTTGAAATTACTTGGCTCCTTCTGGTACCTGTCATACGACTTCAAAAGTTATTTGACTATATTTCAGAAACTATTAAAGCTATGGTATTGAAATTTCACACAAACGAATATATTAGTAGGGCCAATGTGTCTAATAAAAGTCGTTGAAATTACTTGGCTCCTTCTTGTACCTGCCATACAACTTCAAAAGTTATTTGACTATATCTCAGAAACTATAAAAGCTGTGATATTGAGATTTCACACAAGTGAATATATTAGTAGGGCCGATATGCTTGATAAAATTCGCCAAAATTTCTTGGCTCTTTCTGGTAGGTGCCATACAACATCAATAGTAGTTTGGCACAACCAGTATTTTGAATAACACATAGTACTGATATTTTGCATAAATTAATATGGTAATACGGCAACTTAAAGTCATAGTCTGCCCCATAGTTAGTTATGGAACATTAGTTATTCGCACATAGGATAACAAATTCGTACGGGTATCACAGAGTTGACAAGGTCAACTTTATTTTTTTTCTCGTTTTTATTCTTTTTTTCTTTTCCCTAATGGGAATTTTAGAAATCACAAAATAAAATTTAGTTAAATAACTATATATAAATAAAACGTCAACAATTGTGACGAGAAAATTATGTGTCTCTTAACATGTCTCATTAATGTAAATTCAGAAACACAGAGTTGTAAAGTGTTCGGTTTGATTCATGTTATATAATAAGCTTAATGCTGGACTAAAAATAAAGATTAAATTTAACTCAAACACTTTTCGAAATCTCTATCAATAATATAGTTCCGATAATCTCATACACCGTTGCATATATAATATTGCCTTAAGAAAATTTTTAAATCTTGTGTGACGATGAAAATTTCCTTAATAATTTTAAAGTACAATGTGCCGCAATTATTATGTGTTTTTTTATTATTAAACGATTATTAAGAAGCTTTAAAATAAAAAACTTCTCAGAAGATTTATGTATGTATGCATATGGTGGTAATTTACATCTTGTTATACAGAAAGAGTCATTAAAATTCGATATGCTTTTAAATATTACTTTAGTGTTTTTTGTTTTCAATAAAAATTAAAGAAGCAAAAATTGAAAGCGTATTATTTCTGCATTTTCAACAATATTATCTCATACACCACGTTATGTTAAGATTGCCAGATGTCCTGGTTTTTATATCAGTTTCGGGTGACTCGAAAATAGTTCTCGAGGTTCACAATTCTAACTGGGTGCAATGAGTTGTTAACAGTTAGTCTAACCCGCTTCGTTTCTTTTTTAATATTTAGTAAAATCAGGAACGGAAAGCTTTAATTATTCAGTCATATTGTTTTATTGATCAGAATGATTTTTCAATTACATTTTTAGTTTTTTAATTTTTTTTTGTAAATTTCATTTGTCTTAACAAATTCGCTTTATCTCGATTTTTTGTGGTGAAAATCTGGCAAGCTTATGGCATATATGCACATTTTATGCTACCAAATTAAGTATTAATGTTATAGCGATTGTATAGTGTATACAATTGCCATAAAATAGTGATAATATGCTTCATTTTATTCATTCATCTTCAATATAACAATGCTTATGGATGATATGATGATGCTTACACAAAGAATTATATAAAAGACCACAAATTACAAAAGCAGTTGATCGCTACTTACTAAATCAATTTAGTGTGAAAAAATATTGAAATTTTTATACAAATTTAGTTTTTATACAAAAGTTGGATTTTGCTTTCAAAATAATAATTTTGATTAATTATTGAAAATAATAATTGAAAAAAAAAATAGTACCAAAGTTTTAATTTTTGAATTAATTTTTCAGGATTATTTGGAGTTATATAGTATTTGATTCTTTTTTCTTATTTGAATACTAAACCAGGTCTCTTCTTACATTATTGAATACTAGACCAGGTTTAACATATTTTAAATATAACTTATCTTTTTTCTTAAAAACTTTTAAGATCAGAATATTTCATATTAGTTTTAATTACGGCAGCGCATAATATTTTTAGGGTATTGAAAGTTGGGTGAATAACCTTCGGGTATTCACTATATTCAACCAATTGTCAAATAATGACTTAACTGAACTCATGTCGAAGATATCGTTTTAACCATTAGTTCATTATTTCATTATTTTTTCATCATCATTATTTATTAAAAAGTATAATAAATATATTACACCTTTTTTTATAATAAATACAAAATACAATATAGCATACAAAATTATGTATTTATAATTTTATATAAAAGCCTCTATATAACATTAATATATAAGATTTTCTTAAAGATTCTTAAAGATTTAAATCTCTTAATATAGCGGGTATAACTAGTTAGCTTCATTTAACTAAATTATAATTTTTTTTTTTAATTGATTAAAGATATTGAAATAGAAGGCTATATTTGGGTCTCTTCCAGCAAGAATAATTTTAGAATGGTTAACAGCTACATTAAACAAAAATTTGTGAATTTCAATTTAATATATGCACGTATGTATTAAAATATTATGTACTTATGTATGTATTGCTTACATTTTTTCAATTTAAACTTTGTAATATTCTTATTGATTTCTTACACTTGTTTATGCATAAATTGTTATAAATGTTTTTAAATTCAATTACTTGTAATATTCGCTTGACAAGTTAACCCTTTCATTCCACTAGTTATATTAGTTGTATATTATTATTCTGTGTGATTCTCAAATTTGGAAATGTATAATATTCAATAGAATTTGATTGGTTTTTGAAGTGTACTTTGTTTTCGATTTTGTAATAAGTTTGAATTTTAAACAAAAAAAATAGCTTTTATTAAAGTTTTCCTATTGTATAAAATATTAAATTCCTTACCAGCCATGATTGCTAACATACGTTTCTTGCTTAATAAAAGAAGTGGTAATTAAATATTAACGCAAATCTTAAATTTTAAGTATTTGATTATTGTAAACTTAAATTTTTCTCAAAAGGTCATTGAACTTTACAATTAAATTAAAAAGACAATAAAACGAATAAAATTTGGAATATAAATAATAAAATGAACTACTCACATAACGTAATAAATTAAAGCATTAAATAGGTTTTGACTATTAAATTTATTTTTCTTTTAATTATTTTCAGAGGAGCGCTTTACTTCTAGTTGTGCTCTGCGTTATAGCAGGCACAGAAGCCCAGTACAAAGACGCCGATGGATACCACTATCCCAAACCTGAAAAACCATTCGAATTACCACCAGTAAGAAAAAATATATATGTATATAAACTTGTTTACTTAAAATTACTAATTTGGCAACTTTTTTAGAAATCTACCCCAACTCCAAGAATTCCAGCTACACCACGTGTGACACCACCACCAAGACCCCCACAAACTCAACCACCTAGAATACCACAATCTCCTCCACCACGGCCACCACAGTCTCCACCACCACGGCCACCCCAATCTCCACCACCACGACCACCACAGTCCCCACCACCAAGGCCTCCACAATCGCCACCACCACAAAGAGGAACCACTCAAGGATACAGCTACCCACCACCATCAGTTCCGTTCACAACTCCTCCTAAACCACAACCACCGCCAACCAAACCCAGAACAGTTCCACCACCACCGCCACCATCGCCACCAAAACGTCCGCCTCCACCACCATCACCACCAAAACGGCCACCATCGCCTCCAGCCACTCCAGCACCTCCAAAAACAACTCAAGGATACAGTTATCCACCACCTTCAGTACCATTCCCCCCAGCTCCAAAGGTGACTCCCAGACCACCTTCTCCACCACGACCACCAGCACCACCACCAGCTAAACGTCCTCCATCACCGCCAGCAAAACCACCAGCTCCACCACCAGCTAGACCTCCAGCACCACCACCAACAAGACCACCAGCTCCACCACCAACACAAACTAGAACTAATCCTCCACCAAAACAAACAACCGGCTATAGCTATCCACCTCCCAGTGTTCCATTCACATTACCTCCTAAGACAAGTGCAAAACCCCCACCACCACCGACAGCAAGACCGCCACCACCAAAAACACCCCCACCTTCAACATATTTACCACCAGCTACAAAACCTCCAGCAACTAGACCTCCAGCACCACCACCAACAAAACGCCCTCCAGCTCCACCAACTAGGCCCCCAGCACCACCACAAACAAGACCACCAGCACCACCACCGACTAAACCTGTCGTAAAAACCCCACCGCCAACATATTTGCCACCAACCTCAAGACCACCAGCCCCACCTCCAACCAAACGTCCTCCGGCCCCACCCACAAGGCCCCCAGCACCTCCACCAACTGCAAGACCACCACCGCCAAAACCAACTCCTGGTAGAACTAACCCACCACCTAAGCAAACAACGGGTTACAGTTACCCGCCACCAAGTGTTCCATTTAGTTTACCTCCAAAACCTACTCCAAAACCACCAGCACCACCAACAGCAAGACCGCCACCACCAAAAACAACTCCAAAACCGATAATTAAGACACCACCTCCAACGTACTTACCACCTGTAACAAGACCACCAGCACCTCCACCAACCAAACGTCCTGCACCACCACCGACCAGACCGCCACCACCACCAACAAAACCTGCTGTGAAAACACCTCCTCCAACCTATTTACCGCCAACCAGCCGACCCCCAGCACCTCCACCAACCAAACGTCCTGCACCACCACCAACTGCAAGACCACCTCCACCAAAACCTCCAACTAAACCCCCTGCTCCACCAGTAACCAGACCCCCACCTACACAAAGTAGAACAAATCCACCTCCAAAACAAACCACTGGTTATAGTTATCCAACACCTTCCGTTCCATTCCCGCCTCCTCCTAAACCATCCAATAAGCCTCCTCCACCAACTGCAAGACCTCCTCCACCAAAAACAACAAAACCAGCAGTAAAAACACCTCCTCCAACCTATTTACCACCAACTACAAGACCTCCAGCACCTCCACAAACTAAACGACCACCTCCACCACCAACAAGGCCACCACCACCACCACCAACCAAACGTCCACCACCACCACCATCACCCAGACCCCCACCAACAAAACCAGTAATAAAAACTCCACCTCCAACATACTTACCACCTGCCACAAAACCACCTGGGCCACCACCAACTAAGAGACCTGCTCCTCCTCCAACCAGGCCACCAGCTCCCCCACCAACTAAACCAGTAGTAAAAACACCACCCCCAACATATTTGCCACCTGCCACCAAACCTCCAGCTCCACCAACAACTAAACGGCCACAACCTCCTCCTACAAGACCCCCAGCACCTCCACCAACAAGACCAGCTGTGAAAACCCCTCCACCCACTTATTTGCCACCAACAACCAAACGGCCAGCACCACCCCCAACAACACGACGACCAGCTCCTCCACCAACCGCTAGACCGCCAGCACCGCCAAAAGCTAGACCACCTCCCCCACCAACATATTTACCACCCGCTACCAAACCCCCAGTACCACCACCAACTAAGAGACCAGCACCTCCTCCAACACGACCACCAGCACCTCCACCAACCAGGCCACCAGCTCCACCACCAACCAAACCGGCTGTAAAAACACCACCGCCAACATATTTACCGCCCGCCACAAAACCTCCGGCCCCACCAGCAACTAAACGCCCACAACCTCCTCCCACAAGACCCCCAGCACCTCCAACAAAACCAGTTGTAAAAACTCCACCCCCAACATATTTACCTCCTACATCTAGACCACCAGCTCCACCACCAACAAAACGACCAGCACCACCCCCAACAACAAGAAAACCAGCACCACCGCCAACAGCTAGACCGCCACCACCGCCAACTGCTCGACCACCGCCTCCAACGGCGCGTACCACCCCAGGACCTACATATTTACCGCCAGTAAATAAACCACCACCAACCAGCAGACCTCCACCACCACCCCCTCCACCAACAAAACGCCCTCCTCCACCACCTCCACCAACAAAACGCCCACCTCCACCACCAACAAAACCTGCAGTGAAAACTCCACCACCCACTTATTTGCCACCCACAACTAGACCTCCTGCACCACCACCAACCAAACGTCCACAACCGCCTCCAACAACGAGAAAACCGGCACCTCCACCCACTGCTAGACCACCACCACCGCCAACAGCCAGACCACCTCCTCCACCAACATATTTACCGCCAAAAACTACTCCAAGACCAGCACCACCACCAACAAAACCGGTTGTGAAAACTCCTCCACCAACCTATTTACCACCAACATCAAGACCTCCACCTCCTCCTCCACCACCAACAAAACGCCCACCTCCACCTCCCACTAACAGACCCCCACCACCAACAAAACCTGTAGTAAAAACTCCACCACCCACTTATTTGCCACCTACAACAAGGCCTCCTGCACCACCACCAACCAAACGTCCTCAACCACCTCCAACAACGAGAAGACCAGCACCTCCACCCACTGCTAGACCACCACCACCGCCAACAGCCAGACCACCTCCACCACCAACATATTTACCCCCAAAAACTACTCCAAGACCAGCACCACCACCAACAAAACCAGTTGTGAAAACTCCTCCACCAACTTACTTACCCCCAACATCAAGACCTCCTCCTCCTCCACCACCACCAACTGCTAGACCACCACCACCACCTCCTCCTCCAACTAAACGTCCCCCTCCACCACCTCCACCACCAACAACCAGACGTCCACCACCTCCCCCAACAACTAAACCTCCCAGACCTATTTCAACTCCTGGACCAACCTATTTACCACCTATAGCCGGTTAGATAAAACATGACAATTTTAGTTTTCTTCCCGTTTTGTAATCTATACTTCTCCTAATTTTTTTTTTTTGTTTTGGTAATAAGTTTGTAAAAATTATTATGTACATAATGTATATGTAAAAATGTAAAAAAAAAACTGTAAAAAGTGTAATGTTAGAGCTAGTCATTTCAATAAAATGAAAATCAATTTTAGTTTCCTTAGGTTAAAAAAAACTATGCAAGAAAAAAACATAACGGGCAAAACGCATTCAACTTATTGATGACAAAATTTATAGCTTAAGTCTATTGCCCATTACATGTCATTTTTTTCCTGTATAAATAATTTTTTTTGTAATTATGTATAAAAAAGTGTAAAAATAATTGTAAAGAAAAATCATAAATTGTAAATACATACATACATACTTCGATAAGTAATATTCGATTTACATATTACGCAAGTATAACTTTTGTTACAATTATGTTATAATGGTAACATTGATAACAAGAAAATTATATTTTTTTAAATGTTAACTTAGTTTTCAAGTACTGAAATTCTTAATGAATTTTTTTATACTGTGCTGTTTTTTATTATACTTTTTAAACTTGTAAAAGTTTTATTTATTTTTGTTCTCTACTATTTTAAGACAATTTTATTGTAAAAGAAAAATAAGAAAAATCAATAAAAATATAATAAATTATTTTATAATTTTGGTATTAAAGCAGGAGATTAGCAGAACTCCAGCAAATAAATATAAACACGTTACAAAACCGGATACAAATAAATAATATATAATATAAGTAGTAATGTATTTGAAAAAAAGTTTCCTGATGGGAAAAGGTGTCTTATAGATCAGAATCTAGTATGGGGTCACACAATCACAGCATTTCAGATTTAAGCGACTAATCACATCTTATATTAGCATATCATTTTCACTTCTCTTTCAATGTAGATTAATTTTTTCAATTTCCAACATAAACCAGAAATTTGTTAATAAAAATCTATTGTTGTTCTTTAACCAACTTGGGATTCGGTATGCTATTTTACTATTTCCAAAAAAAAGTTTTCTTTATGTGTTTTATTATCTCCTTATCAGTCGCTTATTATCTTTCTGCTTACATTAAGTGGAAGTCTTAGTGTGTATATAAAACACGACAAATGAGTTACTATCTAAAATTTGTGTTATTGGCTCCTAAATAAAAATTTATTTTAAATAGAAACACGTAATAGAAAGCAGCTTTGAACATCGTTTTCACGATATAAAATTTTAGTTCATTAAACTAAAATATAGTTTTTCATCTGTTATGTAAACATAAAATGTTTAACTAACTAAAATCAATATGAAAAACATATATACCGTGTCATACCAAATCCAAATATAATAACCAAAAGAACTTATTCTAAATCTCCCTTGATTGTGCTTTTAAGAAACAAAAAACTCATATATGTAGGTACCTAAATCATACATATAAATTTTGAAAAAATTATTCAAGCTCAAAGATGTGAGAAATACGCACATACAAACTTTCAATAAGTGTAACAAATGCAAAGAGCAAGTAAATATAAATATAAATATCATGGAAATGTAACCAAATACGCAATTCGTCTTATTTTCAACTAACCTGTATTAAGTTTAATTTCATCGATTCTTTCATTGAACAATTTCCAAAAACTAAATTCATCATTTTTCAAGCTTTCGATTATAAACTGTAATATTAACCAAGACTCCTTGATGCATGTACATTGGAAATTAGACTGATACAACGAATCTGGTAATGTTTTCTATAATAATATACATATGTATAACTAAAAATATGTACGCTTAAAATTTTTACACTTTTCACCTTTTTAAAAAAGTATATTGATATTTGAATCAAATCATCCAAAACTCGCGATATTCGGTTCAAAACGAATGAAAATTTTTCTTTAGCTTCATCTCCTACAAGATCTGAGTTTAAATTATAATGGTGCTTAACGAGTATAGAAAGATCCAATAACCGCCATTCTAAAAATCCATGTAATAAATGATATGCTGGTGAATCTGTTTCATTTCCTTTGCAACCATAAGCTAAATATATGCTTCTAAAAAAATCTTTTCTTGAACTCTCATCTAATAAATTCCTGATACTATCCAAAAACGGCTTCAATTTCATATAATCTAATGTTGGATAACCATTTATAAGATGAAACAGAAGCGTAACTTGTCTTCGATTTTGATAGAAAGTTAGATTATCATCTTGTAGAGAAGATTTTATATTTACAATCAATTTCTGAATATTCATTCTACAAATTACGAAAAAATTATGATAAGTATTTAAATCAAATTGTAACAAAATTTATACCTGATTTGCCCAAAAATGAGATTTACTTTAAAACTTGAATATAAAGAATTTTTATCAAAATTGTATTTTGTTAGTTGAATTTCTTCATTTTGTTCAAAATTTATATTAAAAACTCTAAAATTTTTTGCAAATGAATCTGGAAGAAAATCTAAGCTGGTGGTATCCTCACCTTGGCAATTAAACTCAGGTAAACTGTTTGTAGGAAACTCGAGCTGTTCTACAAAATTTATAAAAAATAATTTATTTTATAACCGAGTCGCAAATAAAATTAAATAAAACTCAAACCTGTTTGAGCAATATTCATCGATGATAGCATGTCATCATCTTCTGTTTCAAATAAATCGAAATCCATGTTATTATTAGTTTATACAAGTTCACAAAAATAGATACGAAAAACTATCTAAATTATTTTTTTAATACAATAGATGATAAGCAATTAACAAGATTTTGCAAAAATTTCTAAAGAAATCTGTCGAATTTATTGAGCGAACTCATAATTAGAATTCAAAATAAACTATCAGCTGTTAATTTTATTACCGCTTTCTTCTTGTTTTCACATTTTCCAATTGTTCCTTTAATTCACGATGAATTACGAGTACGAGGTAGGGGTATCTACATATGTCATCTTTTGAATAAACATTTTGCAAACGTTTATTTTGAAAGGCACACTTATTTTATTAAAAATTTGATCTCTTTGAACCCGAAGATAAGAAAAAAAAGACCACGCAAAAACGTAATTGCATAATAGCCATACATATATTAAAACGATAAAAGACGAGAACTACTTTTTTGCGAGAACTGCATTTTAAAGGCAGACTCATTGCTTCGTCGCTTTTAACCTGAGCTAATTTTTTTTTTATTTGACACTGTTTTGGCTAATATAGTATGTACGTTATAGTTTAAACTTGTGCACTATAGTATGTACGTTTTTAAAAACTTGTGCACTACTGTTGAATTTAAACTTTTTAAGGAAAGACAGAAAGAAGTAAAGGACACTAAATAAAGAAATACAAAGTACAACAGTTTCTCGCAAAATCGACAAATTTATGAATCCCAGATTTAAATGTATTTCAATAATGCGGTTTTATTGTGAATGTAGTAATTATACTATATCAAATAATTTGATTTATTGACATCTCAACACTAATTCTTGTTTGATACGTCGAATTTTGAAAGACGGATGTCAATTTTGCACATTGGCATTTGGTAATTCAAAATAAGTAGAATTAAATTTAATCTAATAGCCATTTCACAACTTGAATTTTGATTTTTAAAATTATTTGATTTTGCAAAATTTTGGACTACAAATATTTAAACTGCTAAAACCTTGTTTTCAACATGTCTACGTTTACCTGTATAAGTTGTGGGGTAAAATTCGAAAATTCGGAAATTCAACGAGATCATTATAAAACGGATTGGCATAGATACAATCTAAAAAGACGTGTCGCCAGTTTACCACCAGTAACCGCTCAAGAATTCCAAAATCGAGTTGTAAACCAGAGAAACGTTGATTTGGAAGAAAATACGCGTACCTCTTTATTTTGTTCCGCATGTAGAAAGAATTTTTCCTCAGAGAAGTCTCATGAAACGCATCTTAATAGTAAAAAACATAAAGACAATATTGAGTTATTTAAGAAAGAAGATCTAGAGCAGGTGACTATTAAAAACATAGTTTTACCAAAAACGGAACCGATATCAAAACGAGTTGAAAGTTGCATGGAAGATGAAGAACTAGATTCAGATAGTTGGGAGGATATAATGGAAAAACCGATTACAACTAATGATTGTATCTTTTGCGAAAATGAAAGCGAAAACATGACATCAAATCTGGAACACATGTCGGTTTCTCATTCTTTTTTCATTCCAGATATTGAATATTGTGTAAATTTAGAAGGATTACTCCTTTTACTAGCTGAGAAAGTTATAAAAGATTATATTTGCCTTTGGTGCAATGATAAGGGAAAAACTTTTTACTCTTTAGATGCTGTACGAAAACATATGAAAGATAAAGGACATTGCAAAATGTGGCATGAAGGAATAGCTTTGGCAGAATATTCTGATTTTTATGATTATAGTTCAACTTATCCAGACAATGTATGTGAAATGCATTTATAATCATTTTATGTATTTTGTTTTATATTTTAGGTTGAGGGAATGGATATAGATGAAGAGTTTGAGCCTGAATTATTAGAAGGTGATGAATATCAATTAGTTCTCCCTTCAGGAGCTGTAATTGGTCATCGGTCTTTGCTGAGATATTACAAGCAGCGTTTAAATCCCAACAGAGCTGTTACTATTCATAAAAATGACAAAAAACTCCATAAAGTTTTGTTGCAATACAGAGCGCTTGGTTGGACGAAAACTGAACAAGAACTAGCAGCAAAAAAGGCAAGAGATATTCACATGATGAAAAGAATTCAATCAAAATGGGCTATGAAATTGGGTTGCAAAAACAATAAATTACAAAAACATTTCCGGGCACAAATTAACTAAATTCATTATGAAAGCGTTTTAAATAATGTTGAAAATTATGATAGTTGCCTGCCCATTTTAATGTATAGTAAATTAATACTTATGTAAATTTTTGTGATTAATTAAATGCAAATTAACTTTGCAACACAATCTGAGATTTGCGTAAAACTCTGGGTTGGAAATCAATACTTTTAATTTTTTTCATTTAAAAGTTAAAATTAAAAAAGATTGCTGAAAATATTTACATATGTATACTTAAATATATTTCGTATGACTATCGTAAATTTTTTACTTGTTAAATTTTTTCTTCCTTGTGGTTTTGATCACAGACATTTTGTGTATTTACTATAAACATGAGTTATGGTATTACGGAGTCTTATATAAAGATGTCTGTGATCAGATCACGGCTGAAAGAAATACTAATTTTTTGTAACATCAAGGATCAAATACAAACTTGTAAAGACCATGCATGTATAGTAGCAAAAACTGTAGTATATTTATGTATGCATTTGTTTTTGATAATAGTAAATAGTTACAGTTCATAATGTGTTCCATTTAATGTTCCTATTCATTGTTTCGCAAAACTTGAAAGTTAAATGAATAGAGTTAAAATATTTCACTAGAGATAAATTTCGTTTACAGTTTCCATATTTTAACCTTCAAAATCTTGGAGTACAAAAGCTCAATATTTTTACCGTAAGAATGCAGTTAATTGCTTTGGTTAAGCAATAAAAAAAATGGAAAAATGTGCACCTCAATATACTTTTAAATTTTTTATTTTTATTGCGTGTTTATATAAATTTTCATAATAAAAATTAAAAGAACTTTTAAAATAAAAAAAAAATTTCTCATACAAAATTGCATTCTGAAATTATCCCAACAAATTGTAGTTAGGTAGGAAAACCCCTACGTAATTAATTTTAAAAATTATCACGAAGACCCAAGAAACAAAAAAAGTAAAATACTCAATTCAATTTTGTATAGTTACTTAAACAAATTGTAAATAACTTCAACCAAAAAAATATCCCCATCCAGTCCCATTCCAATGTAAATATATAACTAATCTACTTTAATTTCATGATTTAAGCATTCCAAATCTCTGGAGTGAGCTGCCTTTTTCAAGTCATCTCGTCCCATCAGTGCAAATACCATACGCAATGTACTCCAGATAACTTCCGACATTGGACTTACTCTTGAAGTAACATTTTCTGAAAGACCAGAACGTGATAATGAACTAGCTTGCATATTTAATGCAGTTAATAAATGCTCAGCAGCTTCCTTATAAGCTTTCAAATTCATACAAATTATTCCAACGTTATATCGAGCCCTTATAAAACCAGGTTGAATTTCTAAAGCTTGTTTATATGCATCAACTGCTTCAACAGATCGATTTCCATTAGCAAAACTAGCACCTAAACGATTCCATGTTTTCGAACTATTCGGATTTGAGCTAAGAGCAGCTTGAAAACAATCAGCTGCTTTGTCGTATTCTGATGACAAATTAAATAATACGCCTAAGGCTTCTTGAATTTCTGGATCTACAGTCGTTTGATTCTGCTTCACTGCTTCTAAAAATAAATTTTGCATGTCTTTTAAAGCATTGGGACCTATTAAAGAATTTGTAATCGAATTCCCATTTTCAAGCAAATTTGCTGGTACTAAGTTCGAATATTTTGGATTTATATGTAACCATTTAGCAAGCATATTTAACGCTTGACTTTGTAAACTTTCATTTGTATAAGACACTGCCAGAGCCATTAGCACAGTTTTATTATTTGGATTTATATCTAAAGATTTTCTTAACGCTGTTATAGCTTGAGGATCCTGATACAAATAAAATAATAAAACATACTTATTATTATATATGTACATATAAAACTATAGTACCATTTCATTTTCTGCTTGGGACAATCCAAGTAACTCCCACGCTTCAACATTTTCTGGTTCTTGTTTAACTGCTGCTTCAAAACATAAAACTGCAGTTGGAATATCACCTTGTTTTAAAAATTCTTTTCCTTTTTCTAAAGGGTTCTCTATATTCGACATAGGATTATCAGCAAAAAATTCATACTCTTTATATGGGTCGAAATCAGCTCCTTGGGATAACCAGGGATAATTATCATATTCTGCCATATCATTCCAGTCTTGTTGTAGTTTCGTCCAAAATTTATCATAGTAACTTTCGGCTTTTTCAGCTTTGGTTTCAAATTATATTAAATATTTGAACATATAAAACAATCATTAATTAAACCAAAATTTATACCTTCCTCTTGTTTATTTTTTTGGAAGTCATCTAGCCAGTTTTCGCTAGTATTTGCTGATTGTAACTCTTCTTTTGTTGGTGCAAAAAAAGCTTCTACCTTATCACTACTTTGTTCGTGCTTTTCTCCAAAAAGCTCATTTTCATGCTTCGCAAACTGATTGCTGTAAGCCTATATGCACAAATAGTGACGTTAATTCTTTTAACAGTATTTATAACTTTAAATCTTTTTACCATTCTATTCATAAACAAATTATTAGAATTGTTAAATAAAGCAGGCATGCTCCTGGGCCCTTGCGCTATCATTCCACTATATGAAGGTTGCTAAAATGGTAAAATATATTAGTTATGTTTCCTTACTTCATATTTTTTTTTTTACATTATAGTTGTTTTCCAAAGATTGTGGAATAGCTGGCTTGTAATTATTTTGTTTAAAATCGTTCGCCCAATTTGAGCTAATATCCGGCTGACCAGTTACCTCATTTATGACTTTTGGTGCTTTAACAATAGACTGATGTAAATTTTGCGCTTCAATTGCTCTCATTTCTTGTAGCAGATTATCCATGTGGAATGTCTAATTATAAAAAACAACGTTATTAAAATTTAATTTAACTTAATGTACTATAAAATATCACCTGTGGAACTGAAGAAACTTGGCCAAGAAATTCTTTAACCATTTCATCCTGTGCACCAGCTGTGTTGAAAGGACCAGTATTGGCATGTTGAGAAAATCCTTCATCACGATATGCTGCATCCCTCGTAAAATGACTGCCTAATTGAATCTGAAATTACACAAGTTTACATATTATTTAGTCAAATTGAAAGTCATTTAAAAATTTGAATTTTTCTACCAAGGGATTTGCTCCGCCACAATCTCCTTCTAAAAGATTTCTTAAATCCATTAAAAAATTACAGTTCTCCTTTAGTTACAGGATAGTAGAAGATAATTATCCACTCAATCGCAAAAATATCTAATCAAGCAAAAAAAATCCCTGTGATTTATTTAAATATTCTCTTTATTGTATTTTGTCCCATAGATAAGACACAGAACATAGTAAATAAAATGACAGACGTCATAAATAAATTTCCAGATTGTTAGACTTTTGAGTCTATTGCTTCATTCAACAAACCATTCTAATCACGTACAAATGTGAATAGAATTTTTTTTGGTTGCTTATTCGGTCTGTTCACATTTTCCTTCTTTCTTTACATCATTTTTTTGACACTATTTTGTTTTCGTAATGTTCATTAAAAAGTAGATTTTTTTGTATGCATGTGTATTTGAAATAAAAGAGAAAATTTTTGAAAAGAGAAAAATATATAAAAAAGCGGAAAATCTGAAACACTGCCCTGATATAAGAAGTATAAGATCTTCAAACTAGGCATATTTTCTTGTTATTACAATTCTTATTTCATTTATCAAAGAAAATACAATACTTGTATTTTCTTTGATAATTTAAAACACCGAGCCAATCAGGACACTCAAAAGAAAAAAGCCCCAAAAGGGAAAATTTTTTAATGCAGGGTCTACTTACTATATTATTTTTTCCATTATGGAAATACATGCAGATTTTTTTTTCTTAATAAGTATCAAAGTTTCATTTTTTCCAACTGCTGGATTTTCTAGTAAATTTGTTTTAGACAGATGAAGAATTTAACTGGCATAATGTACATATGTTATGAATGATACATTACTAATATTAAAAATTTTTTAAAATCAGATTTTGTATTGTCATAAAAAAACATTTTTGTTTTGTTTTTTGTAGTATTGCAACGAAGAGTTACAATCTGCAAAATACTAGCGAAAACTGCCTAAATGCTTTCCAAAAAAATAAAGAAGAGGAAAGTAGAAATTTTGGTTTCATGTGAATCGTTTGAAATCCAATGAATAAATGACAGATATTTCTAAAATCGACACGTAATATGAAAATTCAGGTAATCAAAGAAGAACACGGCTCGTATGAACATACGCCATAGCAATCATGCTTCGAAGCCTTCAATGGTTAAGTATTATTTTAAGTTATTGATTATAAAACAAGTTTACGATCGCATTCAAGCGATCACAAATAGCAGTTGAATGAAATATTTCAGCGCGTCAATGAAAGAATCAAAGCAGTTGTTATTTTTCAGCAAAATGTCAGAAAAATAAATTATGAAAAAATAAAAAATTTTGTGTGTAAATCAATAAAATATTTTTTTTAAATTATACATTCTGTTGAAATAAAGTAAAGTGCTTTTATGAATGAAAAATTTTTAAAATGGATAATGTAGAAAATACTATTGAGGGGAATCAAAACGAACAAGAGGTAAACTTTACGGGCACTCCTAGTAACAATGATGGAGTCAATAAAGGAGACACTAGTACAAATTTTGAACTGCTTAATACACCGTGTGAACAAGAGCAGAGTGGAAAAATAATTCAAAAGGATAACTCTAAAGATTTTGATTTGCAAAATAAAAGTGATCAAATTATAACATCATCTAATTCTGTGAATCAGAACGTTTCGAGTGTTAAAGAGGAAAGGGATATTGCATCAGATGAAATTTCATCAACAAATGAAGATAATAAACCGTTCGAAAGTCAAATTAAAGATGAAAGTGTGCTTAAAGATCAAGGGTCTAATATAGATGAAGAAAATGATTATAAAATTAAGAATGAAGTAGCTGATATTAAACAAACTGATTCCAGTCAGCACATAATAAAAATGGAGAGTAATGAAACTGGGGAGAATTTTGCAAAAAAAGAAAAAATTGAAGAAGCAGTTTCAACATCCCAAGGCTTTATTGAACAGAATAAATTTGAAAAAATGGATGTAGATGAAACTGAAAATTACGCTGTTTCAGTACAAAATATAGAAGTTAAAAACGAAAATTTGTCGAAGCCAATAAAAATGTCAGTTTCTTTAACACCGTCTGAAACTGAAGCCGCAAATATTTTAACAAACATATTGCAAAATGCTCCAGTATCAAACGAGAATATTCTTCAAAAAGAAACAGCAAATGCAGATTCGCAACAAAGTACTCCTACATTAATAACAATTCCTTTGAATACTTTAGATGAAAGTACACAAGCCGAAAATAGACCTACGATAAACAGCATAAAAAATCAAACAGATTCCATATCCACTTTACCAGCTGAAAGTACAAATAAACCAATAATAACTGCAACTATTAACAAAACTCAGCTTTTTAATGATGACACTGGAAGGCTAGACGCTTTGGCGTCGGCTGCTATAATGCAAGCAACAAATGATTCAATACAGCAGGAAACTCAAAATAGTGCCAATCAACATGATGAAATAAAAACTAATGCATCAAATGAAATTCCTTCAATTCCGGAAACTTTAGTAAATCCAAATGAAGGTATTCAAGTTCAAGAACAACAAACAAGACCAGTTTTGGTGCCGATTCCTGTAACATCTATTCCACCACAACCGCAACAACCTCCGGCACCCATAGCAATATCAACGCAAAACCAGATTGTCCAACAGCAAAACAAAAAAGTCACTAAGCAAAGGCAAGCACGGAAAGAGTCAACATCTTTGGATGATCCTAGCAATTCTGATCCCAATTCTAAGTGGAATTTTGTTGGAATTTTTACAAACACCTCTCAAACAGTAACTGATTTTATTAACTATAATCAATGGAATTCAAAAATGTTTGACGGTTTAAATTCAGATTGCCTCCCAGATTTAAGTTCTTTCGATAGAATAAAATTAGAACCTGGTACAGCATATCGCTTCCGCCTCTCTGCTGTAAACAGTGTTGGTCGCGGAGAATGGGGCGAAATATCTTCATATAAAACATGTTTACCGGGTTATCCTGGTGCACCATCATCTATTAGAGTTTCAAAGTCAGCTGAAGGAGCTCATTTATCGTGGGAGCCCCCTCCAGCAAATAGTGGCGAGATCCAAGAATATTCTGTGTACCTAGCTGTTAAATCGCCAAATACAAAGGAAAAGACACCGCCGGCACAATTGGCATTTGTAAGAGTGTATTGTGGAGCTAATAATCAATGCATAGTAGCAAACACTTCATTAGCTAATGCTCATGTTGACTGTACTACAAAACCTGCAATTATATTTAGAATTGCTGCCAAAAATGAAAAGGGCTATGGACCTGCAACTCAAGTAAGGTGGTTGCAAGATCCCGCTGCTTCAAAAACAACTAGATCAACCTCATCTATATCAAATTCTTCAAATTTTAGCGCAAACACAAATAAGAGGCTGAAAGTTGGAACAACGGGAATGTAATTTTTTTTTTTTAATTATATGAATTATATAAATTGTAATAAGTAAAACTGAAAAATAAATGTATAAATTTTTATTACATTATATATCAATGTATGTATATATTTTACTTATATTATTATAAAAAGAAACTTTTTTGAAATAAAATGGCTTATTCGTAATTATAGATAAAAATCCAAGCAATGGAGTGTAATGAAAACTCATTATTAATTAAGTGCGTAAGAAATAGTCAAAAAGACCTATAAAATGCAAGGTATAAATATTGCAGCAACAAAAATTCATTATTAACAAAGAACTCAACTTCAAACGGAATATCAAAATAAACTCATGGCATTAAGTACCTACATATTTCTTTAGAAAGCCTAAATCTTTGAGTATGAAATTTATAGCTACTTCTCTAGCATCTAACCCATGTTTCTATTGTTAATGTAAAAATTAAAATCTTAAACGTTAAGTCAAATATAATTCTTAATCTTCAAAATGGGAATCCTCCACACTGGCATGTTCCTGTTCTTTTCATGGAAAAGCTAACATTCATGTTTATTCGATATAAGTTTCAAGGTACAAGTAAGAATCGTTTAGAAGGCTTTTTTAAAATAAAGTTGTGAAATTATTGACTTATATTGTTCGAAACAGAGCTTGCGTTTAACGCTTTAGAGTTTTTGATGCTTCAACAATGAGCTCTTCTAAGTTTCGTGCCTTACTTCTCATTTTTTGTAACAATTCCTTTACACTTTCGTCTTGCGTCTTGCGTTTCAGCTTGCTTGTACATAAAAAACCTTAGTTTCCCAATAAAGCTGTTTCATTATTGCAATATCTCTCGCATAATTGAGAGATATTGCAATAATGAAACAGCTCGCATAATTGAGACATGTTTTTTAATTTTTTATGTTGTATTGAAAAAAAATACCATTTTCATATTTAAGTAGCACTAGACATTAGTTTTTTCCAAAGGATTTCCTACGAAATAATCTGATCTTGCAATATTATAAAGTTTTTTTAAAATTAAAATTACGCATATTTTTATTTTAGGTAAATAATTCCCGGACAAGTTAAGCACTTAAAGTATGGACATTTAGACACAAAAAAGACCATGGCAACTTCTGTCTAAAATCAAATTTGTTTTTCTACCTACAAAGTTTTATCTGGAAACGCTGATTTTAATTATTTTGCTGTTCTTTATAATAGCATTTAAACTAGAACATTAGTAAATTCATATATATCCTTCTTTTGAAGCTTCTAGAAAAATTTGCATCACTTTGCTTTTGCCAAACAATTTTTGTTATTGCAAATTGTAATAAAGTTGAATTATGAAAAGGAAATAAGATACAAAAGTAAATAAACAATGTCAACTGTCATTTATTAAAATTTTAAGGTGGTTCAATAAATATAACCATAGCAAAAGTTTTGGTGACACAAATCAAAGTAAATATTTTATACGTTTCGTTTTTTAACTGATAGGTTGAGTTTGACCGAAAAGACATTGTCTTAGCCTTTAATTTTTATGCCCTTTGTGAAAGAGAGAAAATCTCTTTCAAAAAATTTGTTTAAATACCAAAACGAACTCTAGTGAAAAATTCGATCACTACCAACGATTCCTCTTTAATAGTTTTCTAAATTTGAAAGGAAAAATAGTATATAAGCGCTGTCATATCTGAATATGTGTTTCGATCACGTTGACCTGAATTTTGTTTAATGTTAAGAACGAAAATAATTTCAAGTTTCTAGTATAGAGCTCAGCTAACTCTATTTTGACGCTAAATAAATATAGCATATTTTATTTTTATAAATAAATATAGCGTATTTTAGTTCTCATTAGCATAAATAACAATTTGATTAACGTCCGTTAACACTACGGCTTCAGTGAAAAAGTACTTAAGTCAAACATAAAAAAAAAACATTTTTTTAACATACAGCAATGTCATTGAGTTTTTATTCTCTATCGACTTTTATTATCGCTTTAGTCAGTTTGTATGAAAAATTCCTTGTAATTTGACGTCAACCTTCCGAAAACTTTCATGTTTCAGTTTGCGCGAAAACAATTGAGTTGATTTATAATTTTAATGTTAAAAATTTAAATCTACCTAATTTCGACTTAAAATCATAATTTATGACCTTACACTTTTCATGAATCCCCTGAAGTAATACGTAAAACAATATTCTAAAAGAAACTATCCGTGTAGAATCAATAATATAAAATGAATAAACTTTCCTGAATACTTCCGAAACATGATGTTAGTGGTTTTTCCCTGGAGCAGTAGTATTAATAGGCAGTTTTTGTCGATACCCTAGTAATTTATATGTATGTATCTCTCATGAAGCTTTCTTATTGCATTTTTGTAATTGAATATTTGTTCCATTAGGAAAATACATGACCGGTTTTTGCTTTGAACATTATTAAAACTTTGAGTTTTAATATTCTTTCAAATCTATACAATATAGCATCAAATTATATAATGCTGTGTAAAGCGCTAAACTAAAATAATATTAAACTACCTTCTTTAGGCTATCTGGGTACAGTTGATGTTCCTCAGACGTTTTGTATTTTGACTTTTAGATTTCAATATATAAAAATAATTTCATTTATTCAGTTGCAGTTAAAGATTTGATTCCTAAATACTAACTACAAAGTATAAAGCGGAGTTCGCATTTTTATGTTCGTTATTTTATTTTTTAATTGGCTAAAAAATTCTTTTTTCTAAATCAAATAATATAATAAGTTTTAATTTAAAATTTTTTTAAAGCATGTCTGCGGCCACAAAAGGTAATTGTAATTTCAATAAAGACGAAATTAAAATGTGGAATTTTTTCAACAAATTCGCAATATCTATTATCATATATTAGGGTGCAAAGTCCAATGATGAACTTGAAAAACAACAACATGATAATCAAAAATTTATTTTTATCTTAAATTTGCATTGCAGGTATATTCATCGTTGCAGCAAAACGAACTGCTTTTGGAACTTTTGGCGGAGCTTTCAAAAATACATCACAAACAGCATTACAAGTAGCTGCTGCAAAAGCTGCAATTGAATCAAGCGGCTTAAAACCGGATCAAATAGATACAGTTAATATTGGCAATATAATTTCAGTAAGTTGATTTGAGTTATGATTTGATAGGTACTCTATTGGAAAATTATTATGATTTATGAAGGTTTCTTCGAAAGATGGCATATATTTACCACGCCATGCCGCTCTTCATTGTGGTATACCCAAGGACCGCCCGGCTTTAGGTGTAAACAGATTATGTGGAAGTGGGTTTCAAGCTGTCATAAATGGAGCACAAGATATTGCAGTTGGAGCAGCAAAGATTTCTTTGACTGGCGGTGTTGAAAATATGTCACAATCTCCATTTGTGGCTAGAAATATTCGCTTTGGAACGACACTGGGTTCCAATTACAATTTAGAAGACGTTTTATGGATGAGTTTAACTGATTCTTATTGTAACTTACCAATGGCGTTAACTGCGGAAAATTTGGCAGAACAATACAAAATTTCAAGATCGAAAGTTGAAGAATTTTCTTATAGATCGCAGCAAAACTGGAAAAAAGGTAAATGCCCTTTTATCTCACTATTATGCACCTCTTGATTATTATTTAAATCTCAAGTTTTGAATTTGATAAATTCTTACCGATAGTTTTGCAAATGTAATTCAATATTTAAATTATCATTTAAAGATTTTAAATTTCTCGAAATAATTTTGGAAGTTGTGTTGTTATAAATAAACAATATCTTAAAATTTTGTCCATTTAATCGGTGGGACAATAATTTTTATTAATATTATTATAATCTTATATTAAAACTTAATCTGTATTGTATATAATATATAATTAGATATTGCGTTTTTATTATTATTTTTGTTTACCTAAAAATATTGCTTTCTAAATTTTGGATGTGGATATATGTGTATTTGTCTTTATGGCCACAAGAATGATATAATCTTTCATGTTTATTTGTTTGTTTTTCCTTCAGAATATTATGTTATTTACATTTTAGTTTTCTGAAAACAAATTTTTGCAATTTTAATTTTGGTTCAGGGTTGAATTGTATAAAATTTATATATAAAGCTTTTTATGCCTTTGGCCTTCAAATCATAAAATTAGTTTTTTAAAAATACTTAGGGATTTGAAAAACTTACTTATTTTCGACAACAATTTTCTTATAAAATTCTAAACTTTTTGCAGCTAACGATAGTGGAGTTTTTAAAGAAGAAATAACACCTTTTAGATTAAAGATTAAAGGTAAAGAAGTAGACTTTGCTATTGATGAGCATCCTAGACCACAAACAACGCTTGAAGGATTGGCTAAGTTACCAGCTTTATTTAAGAAAAATGGAACAGTGACAGCTGGAACTGCTTCGGTTGGGCTATTATAATATAATTTAAGTTTTCTGTTTTATTAAAATCTAATTTTTTGTATTTCAGGGCATTTCAGATGGTGCAGGAGCAGTTATTGTCGCTTCAGAAGAAGCTTGTAAAGAATATAATTTAAAACCATTAGCAAGGCTTGTAGGTTTTTCTTCTGTTGGAGTTTCACCAGAAGTAATGGGAATAGGTCCAGTTCCAGCGATTCAAAATGTTCTAAAAATTTCTGGTCTTAAATTAGATGATATTGATTTAGTTGAAGTACATCTAGCAATATATAAATTTATGTTAAATTTTTATAAAGCATGCTTTTTTTTTGTAGATAAATGAAGCTTTTGCTGTACAAACTTTGGCATGCGCACAAGCTTTAGGTTTAAATATTGACAAATTGAATGTTAACGGTGGCGCGGTAGCACTTGGTCATCCTTTAGCTGCCAGCGGATCAAGAATTACTGGTCATTTAGTTCACGAATTACGGTAAAATTTTTAAACATCATTTCCAATATTCGATTTTAATAATTTAATATTTTGCAGTCGCAAAAATTTAAAATACGCAATCGGTTCAGCATGTATTGGGGGTGGTCAAGGAATTGCTTTGTTATTAGAATCAGTTTAATTTAAAGTTTAATTTTCGGATATTACTATGTTTTTATTTTTGACTTTTTACTCAAACATTTTGTAAAAATTTTGCATTTAAATCTGTAGGTTTATATATATGAGCACTTTTTTATGATGTATTTTCGTAAGTTTTAAAGAAAAACGAAGACTTTAACTAATAGGGGTCTTATACATTTTTATTATATGTTTTTATAAAAATAAAATTATAATATTTAAATAAAATTAGAATATTTAAATAAATTATGTACATATTGTACTTAAAACAACTGAAAATAAGTTTATAAAATTGAGAGTTTTTTATTGTGAACAAAAATTATTGATAATTTTTGCCATTTACATCAATCTTTTTACATCTATATATGTACATACATATGTGCGCATTTTGAAAGAAAAAATGGGTGCCGGAACACAGCTGCAGAGACTAATGTTAATATGGATGAGATCCAAATTGCAGGAAAATAGTATTATACACAATTCATTCTACTTTCTTACTTTCACATACAGTTTTACTGCGATCTTTATGTTTGGGTGTTAGGTATTGGATAGTACTAGGTAAAATATTGCAGCGCATTTATTTTGAGTATATGAAAGTAAAAAGTGTATTTCATATAAATTTAAAAATGTAGCATTAAGAATACATTCTCAAAATGTCCATCTCATAATCATGCTACTAAGTATAGAAAATAGAACTTAGTTCCGTGCTTATTAGCAATAAATAGGTGGATTGTACTAACTAAAAGTAAACTAAAATGTGTTTTTTGTTTTTGTTAATTGAATTCTTAATTATGCATGTATTTTCTGTTGTTTTTTTTAATTGTGGTTTTGTAAAAAATTAAAATTGAAAATTTAGGTTAATTTTAATTGAATTGATGTCATAGGTCACATACCTGTACATATGTACATCCAAATTTTTTTTTAGGTTATTTAAGAAAATTTTACTTCGTATAAATATTTATATCTCTATAATAATAAGTATATACATATATGTATTATGTTGGTAGTTTGATCTAAATTGAATAATCAGGCAACTTGAAATGACTGGGCTCATTATGTATCACCTTTTCACACATAGTATCTCATATTCTTACAATGTTTTATAATTAAGAGGAAGTTTTTCGTACTATTTATATGCATATAAATAAAATATACAAAATTAAGTAGCAAATCAATTTGCGTTGAAAGATAAAGACTTAATCAATATGACTTAATAATATTTATATGCTAATTAATTTATAGACTTAACAAATAAATAAAACTGTTCGTAGTATTTCTGTTTTTAATTTTACAAATAATAACAACATATTAAAACATTTTTTTCAAAAATTGCCCTGAATCTTAAAACCACCATTGTTGGCTTTATTTATTTAATAATGTATAAAAGAAATAAAATAGAATACCTTAAATAAGTAAAATGAATTAAAATAAATTAAAATAGAAAATAAATTAAAACAAATACAATAAATAAAGTAAGTGTACATAGTTCAATTACTATGATACGACAAAACCAAAAAGCAGCATTGTGTTAACACTAATGATAAAATAATTTTTTAATAATTTCCGGAATCTAAAATTAGTTTCTATCATAGCATAATTCTGTATTCTAGTTCAAAACAATCAGAACAGTTCAAGGAGGGAATAATCATCATGAAATTACCATTTCGTTTAAAATGTTGAAGTTTAAAACGTTGCTGAAGTCACATTTACATAACCAACACAATTAGAATTTAAGTTGTCTAAATTGAATTTCTTAATATCATTATAATAATCGTTAAATATTCACACAAACAAGATATTTCAAAATTTAATTGGCTTTCACAAATAAATTTTATTTCTTTTTAAGGTACGTTTTTTGCAAACATGAATCAATTCAAATCAAATATGGTTTTTTTTAATAACCCCGTCGCGAAATTACAAAATTTTTTGATTCGATTTTTGGAAAAATTAGATTTAAATTCAAAACTTAAAATTTTCGCGTAAAATTAATTAAAAATAAAATAAAGCAGAAAAATAATCATAAAAAATATAATATTCACACTTTTCTGGTTCTTTCTGGTTCAGTGATATGAAGAAATTTATAAAAAGGCATGCCACAGCTATATAAACCGTTGCCTTACAACATTAAGAACATAGAGTTTTAAGTAAAGTTCTGTTTAAGTAAGTTCTGTATCTATGGCTTTAATAATCTATACGATAAATTTTCTTGGATCATTAAAGAATAAAGACAAATAATATTAAAATGGTTCTTAAACGGCTTTTAGCAAGTATACGAATTTAACTGAAATATGAAATACTGAGAAAAAGTTAGTTTGTAGTTTAATCGAGAAAACAAAAATCACGTTCTTAGCCATTTTGAAAACTTGGAAATATATCAATTTTGGGTACAATTCTGTTTGCCTTCTTACATTTTTTCAAATGTAATAAATATTTTTATTAATAATTTTTCTCTTGCTTAAAGCTTAAACTATTGTAACATGATTGAATTTATCCGGCATTACTAATATTTATTTTTCTTTATATTTTTAACTGATTAGAAACTTTGTTCTTTAAAAAAAATGTTTCAGAATACACAGTATGTTGTGCGTTTCGAGGATAAGGTCTGTAAAAGTAATATTAAGCTTTATCTTTTAAATTAGAAAATATTAGGTCTTACTAAGAAAATTCTTACAAAATTTTTAATTCATACTTTAATTTTAGACTAAATCACATTCAATCTTGTATCATTTCTAATTTTGTACTTTTTACAATTTGTTTTATGTGCTGTTAATTTTTACTATTTATATAAATTATCTAGATATGAAGCTTTCATGAAGACAGCAAGCGTTTGGTTTTTTTAAGCTAAACTAAAATTAAAAATAAACCACATAAAGTGAAGCACAAAAATTATTCAAATGAATTGAAATAAAATTTTTATTAGCAACTGAGCAGTACCTTCTATGAAGTAATGCTTGCTTCATTTCATCATAATTATCTGTTATATTAACTACTACGTATGTATTTCTATAATTTAATAAGAATTCAATTATCTAAAATTATTCGCAACCTTCAGTACTGCTTGGATATTACTTTTCCTATATATTATTTACTTAAATTATGAATAAGCCTTATTATACCGAAATAATTGACGTGTTTTCCCATTTTAATAGCAATATACTAAATCAACCAGCCAACATTAATTTAAATACATTTAAACACATTAAAAACATTCATAGCTGTCTACATGTGTACATAAGATTAAAAACTTAATTACGAAGCTGATATCTTTTTACTTAAATACCCGTACAAAAAAATATTCACAGTATGTAATAATTAACTTTAAGTTATAATGTTGACTTCTCTATTATTAAAGTTTCTGGATGTTATGTCTGTATATTTTCGTGGTACTGACTGCAGTCAAAATTACACTTATGTTTTTATCATTTCTATTGAAATGTATTTTTTCTGGTTTTTCAATATTTTCAATTAAACTTTGCAAAAAATTTTATTTTAAACCCATAAAATTTAAAGAGCTAATTTTTTAGGCTAAGATTAATAGCTGGTCGTTGAAGGAAGGCATCATCAATAAGGCCACATAATTGCCTAATATAAGATAAAAATTTAATATTTATATCCCAAAAAAATGCTAATTTTATACACAAACAAGCCGACATATCCGTGGGTAGAATTAAAATAAGGGCAATAAGTATTTCCTATAAACAACAAAGTTAATCCTAAAAAAATAAGCTTGGCCAAATCGAGGATACAAGCCTGATTGTATAACATGATTTCATTGAATTTCTAAGAGAGATATATTTTTTCAATCTTGAAAAATTGAAGTCAAAATTGCATTACATTTTGTTTTTATTTAGAAAAGAGTTCGTAATTTTTGATGTCTATAAAAAAATTATGAAAACCATTTCACTTTTATTGTTATAAATTGTACAATAAGCGATAATTGTATTAATTGGCTTTTGTATTGTAAACAGTACCCAAATAAACATGCTATTATGGAGCTCGCCTTCTAGTCCAACCCGTATAATTCTAAAATCGCTTTAAAAGTATTCCAAGCCTAAAATAGTTCTTATTAATCGTTTAATTTTTTACTTAAAAGAATTGAGTCCTTGCAGAAATCATTACTAAACAAAAAGTTTAACGATTATTTTGAAACTTATCTGGGTCTTTTTCCAAAACTTCATTCCAGTGAACATATTTCTTTAACTTGTTAGTCTTTTAATGGATCCAAAACCTATTTTTCATCTGTATTGCGTTCAAAATTTTATGAATCTTGATTTTTTATGAATTGATGCCCTAATTTGGCACTAAAAAAAGTTTCTGATGCACGCTCTAAGAGGTGAAGTTGTGAAGTTTCCCGATATAAGATTTCAACTCCATGTTTGATAATAATGACCCTATCAACTCGATTAATTTAAGGCTATAGTGTTTTCAGCAAGGTGGCAATATGAAATCACTATAGACAAGTTAATATAAAAGCATATATAATACATTTTGTTTTAATAATATTTTTTAAAAATATAATTTAAAAATATACACTTAATTCTATTGTGAAAAAAAAGTTTAATTTTTTGGTAAAGCTTCGGTTAAAAATTAAATGCAGTCTTTACTCGCTTTTTTACAAAGTTTTCAAAGTTAAATTTTTATTGTCCTGTAAATCTTCCCATGAATAATATTTTACCATCAGATGTTTTAATAAAATACAAGAATGGATGATTTATGTTGATTGTCATAGGACCCATACGTGATGATATGCTGATACCTTTTAAAGGAAAATATATTTTGTTAAAGAGTTTTTTATTAAGTTACATTTTCAATAAAATTTATACCTGAAGCCGCACTAGCTTCTGTACCTTCTTCATCAATTTTGATATAAGCTTTATGAACACCGTCCGAAACCATTAATTGCTCAGTAGTATCTAATATACTAGTAAAATCGGCATCACTGGTAAACATAGTATTGACGTTAAGCTAGAAAGAGTTAAGAGGAAATAAATATGTTATGTATATAGCGTAAAGGAAATACAAATTCATATATACTAATTTGAAATGTTTTTTTAAGTAACTGCACCATTTTCTTGAAAATCTATTTTGTGCTTTAATATTCGTTTTTAATTTTTCGGTTTCTTTCGCTCAACGCGTTTTTAGAAAACTTTGTTGAATAATCTTTGTTGGAATATTGTGCATTGTAAATGAAATTTATCAAACTATATAAGGCTGGGTGAAAGACAATTTTCGGATATAGATCCTTGAAAATCATTCCCGAGACAATAGAATAGTCTGTTTTTTCTCAAAATCAATTAAAACGTGAAATTTTTTTGAAATTTATATTGCTTAATTTTAAAATTATGTTTAGCCCTTTTAAAATAATTTTTTGGAAGCTCTTCTGAAAACTATTTCGTTTGACAAAATTAGAATTTTTTCAAAATAATCTTTGAGGAGCCGAGTATCCCAGAATTGGAGGGCATAAACATTGCAAAATAATATGTAACATGTATACCTTTCTGAATAAAAATTTTACTCAAGTACTTAGATGATATATACGAGTATATATGACTCTCAATTTATTTGTGAATCACCCTGCAAACAAATTTATTAATTAAAAATTATCAGTCAAAAATTTATCAAAGTAAATTTTAGATTATAAGCCGTAAGTCTTTATTATTAAACAACTACAAACTAAAATGACGACCTTATCTATTTTATTGTTATAGTATAAAAATAAAATATTGATTAGTAAAGAGTTATTGCGATTGATATAAAAAGTATCTATATATTGTCTTGTTATTTGCAATAATTTCAGAATACAAAATTATGATTTAATGACTATGGGTTTCACTTTCAATTATAATTATAATCATAACAGTTTCATAATATAATTAGAATGTTGTGATTCATTAACACATCTATGTATTCATACAATTAAATTCATTTGTTTTCTATTATTAACAAAATTATAATTTTGACAATTCCAAACTTTTGATTTATTTGTATGTGTGCTTATATAGGCAAAGAAACTTCCACGCGTTCAATATACGAGTATTTAAACGTGAAGTCACATTTATAATCCCAATTTTAAAATCTTGAGTATTTGTTTTGCAAATTATTGTACAAAAATTTAATTATAACAAAGTTTACAATCACACAAATAAATTTGATTATAGAAAATTTAAATTTAACACGTGTTTTTAAATGAGAAGTTTAAATTTATCCGAATAATTAATAAAGAAATTATTTTTATACATAGAGTACTTATATAGATTATATAGGAGAAAAAATTGATATATTATTTCTAAGTACTATTTTAGTGACAGGAAAATTTTAGTAACTTAATGTTATATAATTTGCACTTCTATATAAAAAAATTACTATTACAATATCATAAAATATGAGGCCTCGGGAACTAGACCTTTTTTCGAGACGATTTTACATTTTTACGCATATAAAGAGAAATAATCAACCAAATTCCTTGAAATTTAATATTTAAATTCGGAGTGTTCAAATAATGAAGTTATAGATTTTTTAAAACGATTAGAAAACAATACTAGGGGTAAATTTACATTTTTTATCATGGCTATGAAACTAATTGAAGACATTTCTTGAAATTAAATGTTTGAGTTCTATTTGCTACCGAACTTTTCATAGCATTTTGACGGCACAAAGCGAAACTACGAGTCAAATTTACAATTTTTTTAGATATGTTGACTAATAACTTACTAACAGCCTTAAAACCGAAAAGAAGTGTTTCAAAGGCCTTCTCTTAATATTTTCTTACTATATTTTTTGCGTATATTTTCGCGTATATTTGTAAATTTATTTGATATTATACAATAATATTGTTCTATAAATATTTTAAGTATCTTAAGTGTTTATTATTTTGCAAAAAAAACAAAAGTTATATTAACGTGTGTAAGCTAAGAATTCGGACGCATTAAATATCTACATATATACATTATATATGAATAATTATAGTTAAATATGAATAAGCGGAAATTTTAAGAAAATATGAACTATTTATGCGATAAGCAATGATTAATTTAATATAGAAATTTGGTTCTATTAAGAAAAAGATCTCAATTAACACTTGATCAAATATTAAATATTTTATACGTCTAAAAATTCAAAGATAAAATAATATGTATATCTAAGAAATTATTTTACTAGATATATTAAGGCAAATAACTTTATAAAATTATCAATATTAAATATCATTATTTATTTATATTAAATTGAAAGAAATCTAATGTGGGATGATGCTAAATTATTTATAAATGTTAAAAATTATAATGGGTACATTAAAAATGACAATTAGTTGGATTTTATTTTTTTTAAAAAATAATAAAAAATTACATTGTCTTTGTTTTTTGCTTTTTAAAAATAATCATTTTTTCCTGTCAAACAAAATAAATGAGATTAATTCTCAAATTAAAATTGGACAAAAAATTAACCAGAAAAATAATGAAGACACGGTTGAAAAAACAATTTCGTTATAGAATGCTTTTTTTTTCTTTTAAACCACAAATGATATTTAATTTGTTTCCACATTCTACTTAAAAAAATTATATTTGTACAATGTACATAATTATATATGTATATTATTATATATATTATAATGTTATTAGGTCATATTGTAATAGCCTTTAATTTTAAATCAAGTTTAAGATTCAAGGTCATATTATTTTTTATTTATCATAAAAATATTTTGCATTGAGAAAAAATATGCTTTTTAATATAAAAAAAAATTTTTTTTTCGGGCTTACTTACCTCTTTGAGAGCTGCTTTTAAATCTGTTGTTAATTCGAATTCGAATTTTGGTAATTTTAATTGAACTGATATCGGATCTTTAGTTTGTTCAAATAAATCTGATAAAAATGTTGCATCCAATTTATTTTCTAAATCACTTAATGGCTGATCATAATTTTGTGTTGTTAATATATAAAATGATAAATCAGAATCTTTATATTTTAAATTTACTCCGGTAGCTGATATATCATAAAAATTTTTTGCTTCAATTTGTCCCGTTTTTTGCATCATTTCTAATGGAATTTTTATTGATGGTGTTACATAAAAATCGTCAATTCCTGTATTACTTGAATCAAATTTATTTTCCCATTCACCTTTAAATTGTACTGCATTTACTATATACATACGTGTTAAAAGATCAAATGAATCGGATTCAACAAGATCTTTTATTTTACCATCAGTATGTTCTATAACCCAATCATTAATAGATTTAGCTGAATTTATTGAATCAACAAAATTAATATTTTCAATATCTGAATGATAATATTTAGTAGCGATTTCATTATAATTTGGTTTTAAACTAAAACCATTCATAACATAAATTTTATTAGCTAAATAAAAATTTCCTGAACTTAATAGATTTTTATTATTATTAAAGAATGTTGAGAATACATTATTCACAGATTCTTTATCGTTTCCAGGTAAACTGAAACCTTTTAATATTTCATTAGCTGTTTTACCTTCAGCTCCAGCATACAATAATCCACCGGCAATTTGTATTGAAATTGGTGAAAATATTAAATTTTTATCTTTATTATTTGGATTATTTCTTAAATATTGAAAAAAATCCAATGCAAAATTTTTATTACTTGTAACAAAATCAGATTTTACAGATGCCTTAGCTGTTGAACTCAAATGGCATATACCGATTATCAATAGAATTATAATTGCTAAAATACAAAAATATTTAACTATATTAAAATATTTTATTAATATAATTTATAACAATATATGTACATATGTATATATGAATATTTATTCTAAAATATTTTATACCTCTTATATTGTTCATTGTTTATCTGTTCTTCCGTTTTATATTTAATTTTATATTTTCTTACACACTTTAATTCTTTATAACGGTCGTTTTATAATTAAAGCTTCGAACAGTATTACCTGTTTTATTTATTGATAAAATATTGCTCTATAAAATTCAAAAAATATAAAAGTTTCGCTTTAACGATGATTTTACGACGCGGTACGATTTTATTATATCAAAGGCAAAAGCACTCTTTTATTCCCTTTTTTCTCTCTCTTAAATATTCTCTCTTTGATCAAGTGAAAAATCAAACTAAACAAAATCTACATTTTATTTGTTTTTTTTTTTTATTTTTCTGATTTTCCAATGTTGTAAGTACGCAAATTGTTTTCATATGAGAACATTATTTGTCATTATTTAATATAGGTGAGTAATTTTATATAAGCATATACGTGTGTATATTGTTATCGTATTCAGTGGATATAATATAAGCTTTTTAGCACTTTTCCAAAAATTTTTTGAAAAAAAGTGCTTATTAGTTTCACTCTGTCCGTCCGTCCGTCCGTCCGTCTGTCCGTGTGTCTGTTTACAAAACTTCTACATTCTTAAAGATAGAAAGCTGAAATTTAATACGTACATAGATCTTTACTAGAAACTTATTTTCGTAGAACAAAATTTTTACCTATCTCCCCCCCTATAGAAGTTATACCCCCCTAAAGCACTAAAAATGGCCTATTTTAACTATTTGTTGCAATGAAACCATAAGCATTTTTGAAATTTTGCAAACGCAGAAAGGCAGTGGCTTGCTTCCCCTACCGCGGTATACTATAGCTAAACTTTAGAAAAACAAAATGGCCGTTCAAATTTACCGTTATCTGCAGTCCTTTTTTTCCAAATTTTTGATGTCGTTTTTCTTCTAGACCCCAGCCTGTAGAAGCTTGAAATTTTAAGGGCTTTTAGACATTAACAAGTAGTTCATTTCGTTAGAAGAAAATTTTTTTCCATCTCCACCCCCTCTCAAGTTATGGCCTCTTGAAATTTGTAAAATTTGCATTTTTGACACCTTATATTTCTGAAACCGCAAGCTTTTTCAAATTTCTATAAACGCAAAAAGTTAACGGTAAATTCCATGACACTAAAAAATATAATTATTTTTCTTAACTTACACAATTAACCCTTAAAATCGAGCATTATGTTAACCCCTGTTTATATTAATTTTTGCTTTATTTCAAAGACTGCATAAATGGTTCATCCTAAATATATGCAATCCTAGAAATAGTTTCGTTTATAAATGAAAATAAATTTTAATAGTTGGTGGATATACATAGACTATTTTTAAAAGCAGTATTTTCACTTGTTGAAGGGAAAAGTGCTACAATACAAACCATTGGTTTGACCCAACTTTATTTGTAAATATTTATGTATATGCACTTGTATCTTTTTAAATTAAGTATAGAAAAACGTGGATATATACAATACATGTGAATATATGAATATGTGTATGTTTGTAGCAAAAATATATCATGCAGGCAATAATTGTAAGTTTGATATCGCGTTATCAGACAGCGTCAATTTTTTTTTTATTATAAACAAAAGTGTATAAGTTGAGTCGTTATTTGTGAAAAGTGTGGGAAAACCATGTAAATAATAACACAATTACACTGTATTATGTACACTGATGCCATTTTGCAAGATTTATCTTGATTTTCAAGGTTTTTGAACTTAATTTAACGGTCAAGATATCTCGAGATTTTTCTAAAAAGTATACATAAAAAAATCAATCAAGTTTACTACTTCATTTGCTTAATGTTGATTTGTCTATGATTCTAACATACTTTCGCAAGGAAAACTGATATTTTTTAAGAAAATTGATTTTATAGTACAAACATCATTTCGGTAAAAGAAAATTTTAACATATTCCATTTCCCCATCAAATTATGAAGTTTTCGAAATGGCGGCAATAGCAGTTTGACAAGTTGATGTGACACAATTAAAGTCATTTTGCAAAATTTTGCAAACAATCACAATCAATTCAGGAAGACAATTTATTTCTAACCATACCATAAAAATATCATAAAATTCTAATAAGCAAATTTTTGTCGAATCGATGGTTTTAATGAAATCTTATCTCAAAATATAACTTTAATTTTCTAACTGCTCCAATCTATGAATTCGAGAAATGTTAAACTACTACTTGGATGAACTTCTACTTTTATCGACAATATTTTATTTTCGATAAATAAAAATTGTCGGTTACCTATTACTTGTATGATATAGAGATTACTGTCACATTTTTATATTTAAATCAAAGATGTTGCAATAATCGCTTACAAAAAGAAATACCGTTAAGTCTTAAATAAATTAATTCGTAATCTAGATCAATTTTCAAAGTAAGTATAACTTTTTTTAAATTAAGAAAATTATATTTTTAAAATGACTCCTAAATTTATGCAACCTTATATGATAATTAGAAAATAATTTCAATGAACTGATTTCGTTATGTAAGCCTGTATAAAAGGCAAGTTTTAAACTTAACTAAATTGTCAGATAGAAATGTGCTATGTTACAAAGCTTTGATTTAAAACCTTTGCTTAGACCACAAGTTTGTTTTGTTCGCTATTTTGTTTAGCGTTCACGCTTTTTGTTATAATTGAATGAAAAATTTGTGTAATTAATATTGAAAAATATAACACTTTCGTGCCACCACATAAAACATTTTTGTATAACAAACAATCTTATTGTATACTTCAAATTTAACATTCATTTATAATAGAAACAAAAAATCATACTAAATGAACTAAACACTTATTAAACGATTATTCGCTGATTTGATAGTGTATAGCGCAGTTGTATATCTAGAATAATTCTGCATTATTGTTTTTATATTCTGCATTAGTTTTATAGTTAGTTTCTCTTTCATGGGGTGCAATGAAGTTCTTTTTAATTTATTGTATTGAATTTTTAAATTTCTGTCATAGCAAAAGGAGTGCAATTAGGTAAATTTTTTACGCCTTATTTTCAAAACTTATTATTACCAGAATTCTTTTCGTTTTTCGAAGTATTTCTGTTAAATTCTTCGAATGAATATTATTTTTTGTGCCACATAAAGTTAAATATCTTATTCAATGTTACTTGAATTTGCAAAATTGTAAAGCTGTGCTTGTTAAAATTCTTTTCTAAACGCAAAAAAAAAAGTTTATTTTTGTTAATGTGTACTATGTATGTATGTTTATTTATAAAAACAGAATCATATTAAATATTTAATTTTAAGGATTTCCCCATAAATTATGATCTATTTAATGATAATAATGTTATTTATTTTCATGATAACCTAATTTATTAACATCATTTTCGTTTTTCAATACTAGATGTTCAGTACCTTACTACATAATATTGTTTTAGCAGGGAATTTTCGAAAGCCTTTTATATTTACTAATGATTAATAATATTTCCCAAATTTAATGTTTACCAAAATTTCCAAAAAAAAAAAAGTGTGTTTTTTTAAAAATAAATAAAATTTTGAATATATCAAATATATTTTAAATTAAATAACATTATTTTTAAATTCAAAACTACTTGTGTTAACAGAGGGTTAGCCAATATTCTTTTGCATAAAAAAATTATGATCATGGTTAAAAACATGTGTTAAAAACCGTGAAATTAATATGGAGAGAAATATTAATTGTAATCTATTACTTGTTAATTATACTACAATATTCGACTCATTAAACTTATACACATGAAGTAGCGTTTAATTATAAAATTAAGAGTAAAACAAAAGACTTTGTGTTTTAAACGTTGCTTGTAATTGTTTCTCAAATAAATTGGGGCTAGTGTTATATAGCAATGAAAGAACAACATTGAATTACGAGTATGTATTTAATTTATGCCTTGAACATGAATGTCGGCTTTGAAAACACAAAATGATTTGTCGTTTATAAAAGAAGCATTTATAGCTGTTTTAAACTCCTTTTAAAAAAATAAAACTAGTGGAGCTTCTGCTGGAATACACATGAATAGTACACATAATCACGAGAAACACTTTCGAAAACAAAGCTCAAATTGAACTGTCTTCCCACAAAAATAAAATATAACAAAATTTGTTTAAAATTTTTTGTTGAAGACGAAATTGTGCAGGTTGCTTCAAAAATTTGGGACGAACAAAGCAAGTTTCAATAAGAAAAGACCGGTATTTGAATTCTATTGCAGATTTGAATAATTTACATTAATGTCATAATGTCTTCTTGAACTTCTATCAATTCCATTTTCGCAGAAGCTTTATTATACATTAAAAAAATATTTCTTTGTTTTAAATAATTCCTTATGTTAATTTCGAGTACATACAACGATATACTAAATACTAATACTCAAACCTAGTTGATATACTGAGCAAGTAAAAATAATTTTGCACTAATTTAATTTAGTCATGAAAGTAAGCAGTTGTTAATAAGCCTATAATGCACAAGGTATGTTTCGACGAATGGTGTTATGAATTAATAATAATATTGCATACTTTCATGATGAAAACGAAACTTTGCAAATGGAGTCTTAAGGGTCGAATTTGAAAGCCAATTCGACAGTAATTTTTTTTATTGTACATAATATGTTTAATTATGCTGTTTCGTTCCATACACTATAAATAGCTGAAAAATGCATTTTTAAAATTTTGACGCGATCTAACTTTACAGACGCAGGAAAAGACGGAGAGAAAGTAATAAGCACTTTTTTGCATTTTGTGGTAAAAGTGCTGAAAAGTAAGTAAGAAATTCGGATTTGAAGAATTGAACCGCTCCCATAACATATTGTAATGGACATACTCGTATAACACTTCAACTATATATAAGTATTGAAAAATATTGCCGTACTTGTTGTGTACTTTTTCAATTTTTTATGATAATTTTTTTTTATGTATACTGTTACCTTCCCCCGAAGGGTCATAATTCACGAGGTATTGAAACGGTTTTTATCATGAGAAATACTCAAATTATTGTTATACCAACCTTTTGTATTATAAAAAAAAAGATTACAAAAAAACGGAAAATTAGACTTCTTTTGACTCTGGTTATGGTTTAGTTATTATTTTTTACCAATAAATCAGAATTAGGTTTAAAAATACCTTTTGAAGGACAGTGCACATTTACCTTATTTTATTTTTGAACTTTTTATTGAAGATAAGCTTTATTTTTGTTGTATTTAATATTTTTGAGTTCATTTATTTGTGTAAAATAAAAAAAATAAATTTATTGACATTGTAAGAATGTAATTGTGATGTTAACATTAATTAATCAGTTAATATTTTACGTTTGATCGCTTCCTAAATATATTTTTTTTTGTAAGATTGATTGACGATGAGTCTGATAAAAGCTACAAAAGAAATACATGTTATAATACACAAGCACTTATACATTAAAAACGGTTAATAAAACTTGTGCACAATATATTATCATCAAATGTATATTTTATATTTGGCCAGGTTTTTCATCCGACTGATTAAAAAATTATATTTTAATAGCCCAACTGCAAGAGCGTTGACAAATATTTGCATTTGATATTCGAAACTTACATTGCAGTGGTCTTAAAGGAAACTTCTAAGGACTTTCTTTTTAATGCCGGTGTAAAAATCTCGATGTCCGAATAATTGTTAATTTCACTTGAGTAGGAACTTCTGACATTATTTTTATGTATTATTCTCAAATGATATTTGAGATATCTCAATATTTGAGAAAATTACTCTCACTCTTGTTTTCTATTTTTTTTTATTCTTATACCAGTTGGCCAAATATTTTGTTTCCGATTCTTTGATATTTAAAACAAATATAGCTTGTATAAGGTATAGTATTTCAGTTATTTTTGGAAGTTTGTATAAATGATTGAGTCTTAGAACGAATTAATATTAGTGTAATTCCATACTTTGTGCAAATTACTTTACAGAATATTTTTCAAATACTCATAATATATTTTATTTTTCAAAATAAATATTTAATAAGTGTAACAAGAGTAAGTAGATGAGTACGAAAATAAATTTAATTAATTAATGAAAAAAATTATTATAATTTATGTATTTTTTAGTGCAAAAGTTGGTTGCTTTATTTATAATTTTAAATTTATTATTTATTACTGCCCCCTTCAGTGAAGATAAGCTTATAAATAATAATGAATTTGTAACAGATTTATTCAGAAATACAGTCAAATTTTTGGAGAAAGATGATAACTTGATAATGTCACCAGCATCAATTTTTACGTTATTGGGATTAACATATTTCGGTGCTAAAGGAGAAACTGCTAAAGAAATAGAAAGATCATTGCATCTACCATATTTCAATAAAAAAATTTTGGCAAATAAATTTAAAAGTATTTTATCAATTAGTGAAAGTCCAGAGAGTATCATTAAAATAGCAAATAAAATTTATGTAAATAAAGGGATTGAAATTAAATCAGATTTTGGTGAAATCTCAAAGAATTTCTTCAAATCAGATATTGAAAACCTAGATTTTTCAAAAACTCTTTATGCAATAAATACGATTAATAATTGGGTACAATTACAAACAAATAACACAATTAAAAATTTAATAGATGGCAGCAATTTAAACGCGAATATGGATTTAATTTTAATCAATACTATTAATTTTAAGGGTGAATGGGAAATTTCACCTCAATCTCAAAAAATGTTATTTCATAACAATGGTGAAGTTGAAACAAATATAGTTGATTGTTTATTTGTTAAAGATTATTTTAAGTTTGCAAATATTGAAGAATTAGATGCAAAAGTTACAGAGTTACCATATAAAAACTCCAATTTTAGTTTACTAATTTTGCTTCCTAATTTCAATGATAATTTAAGCAGTTTATTGGAGAAATTTTCTGACATTGATTTAATAGAAATAACAAAACAAATGCCTGTACAAGAAACGACAATTAAAATTCCAAAATTTATCATAGAAAGTAAATTGGAATTGGAAAATATTTTGAAATCGGTAAGATTTATTAAATTTAAGAATTTCTATATTTGCATAGAATTTTTTGATATTCTTTTAGATGGGAATGAAAACAATGTTTTCTAATAGTGCTGAGTTTAAATTTTTGGATAAAAATGTTAGCATTTCTCAAGTTGTTACTAAAGCATTGATAGATGTTAATGAAGTTGGTACCAATGCAACTGCTGCATCAAGTAAGCGTTTTTTTTTTTAGAAAATCTTTTCTTTGTGAATTTTCTGCCTCTTAAATAAGAATTTATAATTTTTAAAGATTTTCGAATATTTTTTGAAAAAAAAAATTCTTTTAGGTATAGGAGTGCAATATGTATCTTTGAGGCTAGCTTCCATCGGGAATGAATTGATTGCTGATAGACCATTTTTATTTGCTATTAAAGATGATAATTACATTTATTTTATGGGATATTTAAAAACTATTTGAAAATAAAATTTATTAAACCAATTTAAGTATTTGATAGTTGTACGTGTTTTATTTGACTGAATTTAAAAAGAAATTAAATTTTTCTTATCGGCTTTGTCTAGCGCATTCACGTATAGCGCATCTCTAACCATGTGTAAAGAGAGTACTTGTCTTCATGTTGTTATCAATATCATGATATCTCAGTTGGTTTCAAGTGCAATTGAACGTAAACTAATAAATTTGAGAATTAATGAAATATTGTTGATAAATTTAATTCTCAGCCTCAAAAATAAGGTAAGAAACGCAAAGTAAATAAAAATGTGGGGTTTTGATTTTTTTATATAAATTGATCGAATATTATGATCCAAAAATTTTTTATTTAGCTATAAAATTTTTTTCAAATCATTTTCAAAATCGTTTTTACCTTACTCGGGATGAAATCGGCGTTCTTCGAAGCGTGTATGTTTTTGTGGAATTAAACAGAATTTTTAAAACTGAAAATGTTTTGTATAATATTTACAATGTTTATTATAAACAATAATAAATAATTTATTTATAAGGTATCCGATATTAAACAAACAAAACTAATTTTCAAAGAGTCTTGTTTGAATTAAACACTAATTTGGTAAACATTCTCAGTAAATTTTGCTCACTCTTTTTACTCTCCTATATAAATTGTACGTGTATGTAAATATATTTATGAATTTGATATTGCATTTGTATTTGAATCTATACTGTTAATATAATAGTTCACCCGGTTTTATCATCAACATAGTATCACTATGTTATTAAAATTAGCATATATAACTTAAAATTTGTGTATAAATTCAAGTAGTCCGTAACAAAAAAATTCATTAAAATAGTTAAAAATAAAAATTTCTAATATTAAACAAGTATTTGAAAATTTTAAATACTAACTCATATATATTTATAAATTAAAAGAAAAAAAAAGTGTATATTTACTTTTGCTTTTATAAAAGCATTAATTAACGTACGATCATTGATCACTCGATTTTTAGTATAATTTCTATTATAAAAAACCGGTCATAAAAAAATACCGGCTATGTGTAGTGCAATTATAGAATTATTGATTAATTGTAAAATAATAATATACTAATTCTATAGATTAATAAAGATTCCTAATTATGTAGTCTAAACAAGAGATTGAAAAATAAAAGTATATTTATGACGAATATTATACGTGCTTTAAATATTTAAAAATATTAGTTTAATATTTCTACATATTGTTCTTGTTGACAGGGGTTAAGTACAGATCGATTTTGTAATTGCGGAAGAAATAAATTTTTGAATTTTGTTTTTGAATTTAGATTTACAAATTGTCTTTTATACAAAGATTGACGTTTTTATTTGAAATCAAAAATAAGTCCAATAATTAGCAAAAAATATTTAAGGTCAATTTATTCAATCGCAATTTTTTCATCATTCTTAATCATTTGCCTAACTTGTCGTAGAATTTTTATTCTACAAATTCAATTTCAACAACTCATTCGCCTAAATTTAGATTTGTAATATTCTACAAGTCTTAAAAATTAAATCAAAGCCCAAATTCTTAAGTTGTACTTCGTATTGTTTGATCTTTATATTGTGCGGAACAACCATTTTTTTTTACCATAGGTAAACAAAACAAAAAAATTTTTTTTTGTTATAATGAACCACAAATATGTTATTTTGAATTCATAACAGGTATTGTCAACATTTACACGCATAAACTAATAATATTATTTTATTATAATGCATAATGCACATTTTCAACTTGACCATATAAGAGTTTCCTTTGGGTTTAAATTACAAATACACGTTATTATAAATGTATTGATGTTTTTTATAAGCAAGTAACGTTAGTACGTGTGTTTTATATGTAAACATATTTGAATTACGAGCTGTCGCCTTTCGAATTTCGCTCGTAGAAGTTCTTAAAGTTCAAGTGATATAACCCATAAACCATAATATTACATTAAACTATGCAAATATGCTTATTAAAAACACTAAAAATTTTAGAAAAGCAAAAATATTTTTGTGAACGACAACACAATTTCTGAAACAAAAAGCTGTCACCAGATCGATTGAAGTTATAAAAAAATTTTTGTATATGATTTCTGCCACAATGCTTCTGAAGCCGTCATTTACCAAAAGCAAAAACAAGATTTTATTATTCAATTCAAAATTTTTGAAAAAAAAAGTTGTAAATTACTTTCGTTTTCAATTAAATGCAATAGAAAACTAAAACTTAAAAAAAAAACAAAAACCTGAAAGAAATGGTAAATCACAGAGATTTTAACAGAAAAAGCTCATAAAATCACAAAAATTTGTTTAGGAAATATTAAAATTAATCGAATTCACGTATAACCCCACCAAAGATAAAAGATATGACGTTGTAAAGGTGAGAAATTAATTTTTATATAAATATTCTGTTCTAGACTTAAACAGGTTTAGTAGGTAAAATAACACAAACACTATCGGTTAAGATGAGTAAGTCAAGCATAATTTTTGAAAAATATTTCTTTTAAACATTTTATATTTTTTATTTCCGTAACAGCCTTTCAAATTTTCACTATACTTGTTTCAATTCTTGGAGTTACATTATCTGCTAGCACAGGTTCAACTGATATCTTTTCGAATGGTGAATTTACTTCAGATCTTTTCGCTCACATTACAAAAGATGAGAAAACAAGTAATGGAAATTTAGTTTTTTCACCAGCTTCGATACAAACCTGTTTAGCATTAGCATTTTTTGGTGCTGAAATCAGTACAGCTGATGAGTTAGCTAAAGGATTACATTTTAATTCGGCTGATAAAGATGTAGTTGCTAAACAATTTGAAAATATGTTACAAATAGCACGGGGTCCTAAATCTCTTATGAAATTAGCTAATAAAATTTTTGCTAATAAAGAATTTGAAGTTAAATCCGAATTCAATGAGGTAGCAAGAAAATCATTTGAATCAGAAGCTGAAACTTTAGACTTTGCAGATTCGAAAAATTCTGTAAGCAAAATAAATGAATGGGTTTCGAATAATACAAACAATAAAATTCAAAATCTTGTTGATGAATCAGTTATATCTCCAGAAACAAAAATGGTTTTAGTAAATGCAATTCATTTTAAAGGTAATTGGAAAATACCTTTATTATCACGCGAAGGAGAATTTTTTAACGATGGAACTACAGAAACAAAAGCAAATATGATGTTTATTGAAGATGATTTCTTATATTCAGATTTAGATGATCTTAACGCGAAAGCAGTTAAAATTCCATATGCTAATTCAGATTTGAGCATGTTATTAATTTTACCGACTGAAAAAACTGGTATTCATGGTTTAGAAGAAAAATTAAAAACAAATAATTTAATAGAAATAGCTAATAATATGGTAACGCGTGAAGTAGCAATAACACTTCCAAAATTTCAAATTGAATCCAAATTTGATTTAAATAAAGTTTTGGAAAATGTAAGTATTCTTGTATAAGAAAGAAATACAGCTCAAGCTTCATTGCAACTAAAATGCCAATTCGTTTACAAATTCGTGATTTTTAGATGGGGATGAAAGAAATGTTTACAGATGACGCAAAATTCAATTTTTTTAAATCAACCGGAGCATCAAAAATCGGAAAAGTTCTTCATAAAGCTTTTATTGATGTTAATGAATCTGGAACTGAAGCTGCTGCTTCAACGGGTATGTAATTTAAAAAATATTTTGAATTTATTTTTTTAGAAAGACTTCACTTTTCTGTCCTATTTCTATTCGATATTGCCGAATAGGACAGAAATGTGTATTTTAAATACATTTTATATTTTACATAAATATTTTATCAAAATTAAATATGCAAATCATTTAAGTTATTTGATTAAAACTACGAAATATTAATTATTAAAAGTGCTATCTTTTCAAATGTAATCTTATATAACAAATATCGATTAATTTAGCTACTGTCCACCGCAAGTGTATGCGCTTCTATATTTATTATTCGAATCAAAAATTTTCTCCTATAATTATGCTATTTAATTTGTGATAATTTTGATTTTTTTTTATTTTAGGATTAACCATTGTGCCAACCTCCTTAAATTTGAATATGAAATATTTTTACGCTGATCATCCATTTTTCTTCGCAATCGTTGATAATGCCAACGTATACTTTAGTGGTCATCTTACCCGTGTGTAGTTAAATAAAGAATTATTTTATATATTGATCAAATTTTTTTTGAAAATATATTTTGTGTTAAATAAGAGTTTATATGTGCTTATATGTATATATTTTGAATTATACAAAGATACTATATATATTGTAAAGACAAAACGAAAGCTATGCTGTAACATTATATATGTTTATTAGCTTTAGTGATTAAATCTTATTTTATAGTTATAAGGTTTTGATGGTGGAAACCAACATATTTAGAAAAATTAAATGTTTCCTTGAAGACGCACATTTGAGCATAGATATAGAAATATCGAATAATCGGAACATGAAAAAGAATTTTCATTGAATGAGTCACAGAGTTACAATAGGCAATAGAATATCAATTAAATACAAAAAAAAGAAACTCGAAAGGGTGTTTCTTACTCGAAAGGTAATTTACAGCCGAAAGGGTTTAAAGAAAAAGGTTTTAATTTGAAGGCTTGTCAAGAAACTTTCGGCTTGAATCAATTTAGAAAACTAATTGTTCTACGAGTTTGTTCCTGCTTAATTTAACTTGCTTTGATAAATTCTAATTTGTTACGAAAAATTTAAATGTACCAAATTACATTTGAAACTCTAATCTCTATATTTGAAATTAAACAAGTTAGAAAAAGGTGTCCGAATTACTTAAGAACAAAAATTTTCAAATAATATTTTTGCGATGATCGAAAAATAAAAACACCTACACAAACCTTAACGCTTTATATAAATACATATGTATGTATGTATATGATGCAAAAATAAAACATACATTTTCATATAAAGGGTCTTTGACATGTTTCTATAGGTACATACGCATACAAATAAAAATCTTTATAGATAGTAAAGCTTATATTACATACAAATATATATGCATCTACATCATTGTGCACTGTTATAACAACAGTGTGGCTGAAAACATTTCATATCTGTTATATAATATATACAAAAATTAATATTTGACCTACATTTTCGGCATTGGAAGTAATAACTTACAATTTTATAATAAAAAATGACTAAAGGGATATTTTTTGAGAAGCTTTAATTTTTATTTTCGAAATTCCAAGGCATGCGTACACATAGTAGTAAATTTTATGTTCTGATGTTAAGGATATTTGCAAATAAAATCAGTAAATTATGGTAGTATATAAGATACTGTCTTTCTTGCAAAATAGATTTTTGTATTAATTTTGAGCAATTTAAGATTTAGCAAAAATCAAATAAAATTTATAATATAGACAGGTACTGAATTTGTATGCGTATATACAAATTGCTGGTCAATGAGTAAAAATGTTAACAATAATGCATATGAAGCATAGTAATTGTTATGTTATAGCAGAATAAATTGGAAAAGTTTGAATATGGAAGTACTAAAGGTGGGTGAAACGTTTATACATTAAAAATTAATTAACTTAGAATTTGAAGGGGCAAATTATCACTATAATTTTTGATTTTTCTATTGGGCTTTGGATCCTATCGGTTACATGTTAGGTATAATAGCAAATTATAATACTTTCATAATTCTTCATTTATAGATGTACATGTATATAGGAATAAATTGTAAATCAGATTTTCAATTTAATTGCAATTTAATTCTTAGAAAGATTAGTGAATGTTATAAAAGAAAATTTAATAAGGTTTTCAAGAATTATTTTCTCTAATTCTTTTTCAGTTTGCTTTGATACATATACATTTATTTATCATTATATTTAGGAAGTGGTTTGAGAACTAAAAATTGAAATTTGAGATATTTGGTCAAAATAAAGGGGATTCGCAAGGGTGTAAGCAACAAATGATTATACAACAATAAAAGAAACGAAATAAAAACCAAATGATTAGATAGCGTTAGCAAAATTAAAGTTGAAATTAAAAATTCGAAACAGACATTGATTTGAATTTTTAGTTTGGATATTTCCAATATTTGAAATTAATTGCTGTATATTCAATTTAGAAATTAATTTTTTGAAATAATTTTATATTCATAATTACAGTTGATACGTGTAGGAAGAATTTTTACTCTTTATGATAATTCAAGAAAAATATTTTAAAATCTTTTACAAATTTATAAAAAGATGCTTAAAATTACAGGTAATAGGCGGTTTACGTAAAATAATTCAGGTGTACTTAATACAAAGGTGTTATTGTAATACATATTTTAAAAGAAAAATGAAAAATTTCAAAATATGTTGAAATATTTTAATTTTTATATGATTTAATTCATTGTTTTAATTTAAAAGTATATTATTTTTTCACGATAATAACATTAAATTTGCATATATATTTTTAAATATCATCTATTATAAAATAAATTTTTGATATTTAACTTTTGCATTTTAAAAATTATGAGGAATGAAATTTATGCTCCTGTGCGTGTTTGTAATACTCGTATGAATAAATACATGGGCTTAAAATAAATATCAAATTTATGAAAATTTTATCTAAATTATTTGAAAAACCTACAATATGTTTCATATGAAGAAAATTAAAAATTTTATATTTTCTTTCATTTTAATTTGCATTTCTGGAGTACGTTCAACAAAATATTAAAAACATAAGTTTTCAGAAATTTTGATTCTTAAGAAATGTAGTTTTTTACTGCATTTTAGTAGATTGGAGAACTATTTTTAATGACATTTCGATTCAAAACAACAGCTCAGCTACTGGTCGGTACTTATATATATATTTATCAATATTTATGAGCGAACAGTAGCCAGTCAGAATGTGAATATGATCCATAATTGTATGAATTTTAAAGAGTTTTTTTTGTACTTAAAACTAATTACATATAAATGTCAAATAAAAATGTTCAAATGTAAACTTTCATTTACAAAAACGTCTTAATTTTGAATTGAATATTTTGTGATCTAGCTTATTTCAAAATTATGCCAAAATAAATATGTCGCAGAACAAAATCAGTTTTCATAAAGTCCGTATTGTTAAATTCCGGAATTCGGAAGAAATATTAATTTATTTTATAAAATACTTTTAAATATTTTAACATTATTTATATAAATTTGTTGACAGCATATAGGCAACATTTTTTCTATTATTATTTTGTATTAAATATTTAACTCTCAATATCGTGTGATTTTAACAGGTGGCTTTTACTAATTTTTTCAGTATGAACTGTTCACACCGTTCCAATTTATAATCAAGTTTTAAGAGAATGCGTATGAAATTTAATAGTAACGAGAAAAAATAGAGTTGACCTTGTCAACTCTGTGATACACATACGAATTTGCTATCCTATGTGCGAATAAATATGTCATAGCTGATTATGAATTTATGCAAAATTTCAGTACAAATTTTTTAAAATATGGCCAAACTACTATTGAAATTGTATGGCAGTCAACAAATTTTATCAAACACATTGATCCAACTAATTTATTTGCTTGTGTGAAATTTCAAGACCACAGCTTTTATAGCTTTTAAGATATAGTCAAATAAATTTACAAGTTGTATGGTAGCTACCAGAAGGAGGCAAGAAATTTCAACGACTTTCAAAAAACACAATGGCCCTACTAATATATTCGCTTGTGTGAAATTTCAATACCACAGCTTTTATAGTTTGTAAGATATAGGCAAATAAATTTTGAAGTTGTATGAAGCGCTTCCTATAAAAACCCATTTGTGAAAATTTAGTGAACTTAGGTCAATTAGTTTTTGAGTTATCATTGGGACGGACAGACAGTTAAATCGACTCAGAATTCGATGCTGATCAAAAAAATACACTTGAGTCTATATCTCAGACCATAATTTCTTTGCGTTACAAACGGTAAGGCAAATTTAGTATACCCTTCGAACATACGGGTATAAAAATACGAATTCAAATATGAATAAAATTTAAGTGAAATATTTGTGGATTATCGAAACAATAACGAGAACGAAAAAGTGTCGGATTAGTTTAAGTCTAGTAAAAGGTAAGCCATTATTGTACGTTATATTATCACTTACACCATACATATGCGTTGATATTCTCATGATATGTTTGTTAAATGGGAGAATTCCAAATTGTACACGTCTTGTATTCTTTTGTTTAGTGGTTATAAGAAAAAGTAATTTATTACTTGAGTTTTTTTCATATCTTTCAGTCTTTTACTTAATATTTTTTCTCTTTTTATGTTTCCTCTATCTCCTCCTCGACATCCACTCGACATAACTTTAACTCTTGATGATTTAATTTGAATTCGCTATAGCTTTACTTTAAGTACCTTAAGGATTAAAGAATAATCATCTGATTAAATGAAGTGGAGATAATCTTTAAAACTCTTATTTTCATTTTCGCTTTTATACAAAAACTTTGGGTGTTTGTTAGAAATTCTTAAGTCTTTTAAAGGTGGAAAAAGATTATAAAAATATTTTATTTTTTTTTTATATTTCGTTCTGTAATTTTCTGTTAAGTTCTTAGAAAGAAAATAAAAACATGGTAGAAATATTTAGTTTTGTAACATAAAAAAAGAAAATGTTGACAAATTTGAGGTTAGAAGTGAATCGGAGGTTAATGTTATAAGAGAAAAACGATAAAGTAAAAAATTTAATTAAGATTAAAAGATTCTTTTTTTTCCTTTTCGGAATATGATGGTATATTAAGGTAAAATTATTATCCTTTTGTAAAATTTAACTTTGTGTTCGCACAATAAGTGAAAAATATGTTGAATTATTACATAAATAACTTGTTTTTCCAAAAAAAAAAAAATTGAAAGAAAAAGGGTAATAATTTTGTTATTTTAAGAATATTGAAAGAATTTATGTAATTTTCCAACTAATACAAAATAGAAAATATTATTATTGAAGTATGGTTGTTAGTTATAATTAATATAATTGAAGCATGAAATTATATAGCGATTAGAATTTGAAAAAGAGTACAGGTATCGCCGGATCTAAGTCAGAAATTGCGAAAACAAAAATATTATGTTTCCGGTGAATTCATTTTTAATATATTGTTGCCGGTTTAAATTCATATAAAACTGAAATAGTGTAATATAGATGATTGCAAGAACTGCTAAAAATTTTTTAGACCTGAAGAGTATCTCGTAGTTTGATTGAAATATATTGAAATCCATTTAGGAAAGCCATAAAGTTTGTCTAACACAATATTAGTTAGTGCAATTATATTTAATCGTAAACAAGACGCTTTATTTGAATATCACATGCTAATAGATCACTATAGATGCCGTTACAATAATTAGGGGCTCTGGAAATGCAAAATTTAAATAATTACAAATATAAGAAAATCATTAAATGATTAAAAGCAAATCTTGCTTTCGTTCTTTAAACTATTTAGAAAACTCGGCACTTTGCGTTAAAAAGGTGAAACACTAAACTTGAATGTTTTGTTCGCATATATTTAGTTAGCAATTACAGTAAGGAATCCAATAAAGTAAGGAAACCAAAAATGACAGTAAAAGTTTAAAAAATCTATTAACGAATTAAATAATAAATTAGAAATAATATATAGTTATGATATCATAAAGCTGAAGAAGAGTTAAGAAAAAAAGTTAAAATCTAGATGTGTTTTATTTTTAAAAAAATATTGCATAAAATTAGGATAAATTGCTTCTTAATTGGCTGCGAAAAATTTTTTAGATTAAAACTTAATTCTAAAAAAACACTCCAAACTGAGATATTTTAAGGTGAGTTTTAAATAAAAATTAAACTTATTAATGAAAACAAGAATATAAAAAAATACTGCATTATTAATAATTCATTACACCCTGATACATAAATTCGTTACAGAATAATTCATTAATTCTGAAAACCCTGATTTTCGTGAAGGGTATATTAACTTTAGTACAGAGTTTGGAACCACTTGAAGGAATCATCTGCTACATAAATATTATATATGATATTCTTGGTCAGCGTAAAATTCTGCATTGATTGTCCATGCCTGAATTGGCAGACATGTCCGCCCGTCCGTCTGATCGCACGATAACTCTAAAGCGAATAAAGCAAATTCGACCAAACTTTCACATTTTGCTTCTTTTATACCAAAGACGAACCCTATTTTTATTGGGCCAATTCGAGTAACAGACCCGAGTAACTGCAATACAACTTAAAGAGATTATTTTAAATATGTATTTCAAAAACTAAATATGAAATTTTGCATACGTGTGTCCATTTATATTTTAAATGTGTTCTAAAAATTTTAATAAAATGTGTTCAATTGTAGGTCGGAGATATTCGCGAATTTTTTTAATTTTAAATATTTGAAAAAGTAATAAAGTTAGATTCATGAAACTTGGCGGTAATGGGTCCAATTCTAAGTCAGACATATCCGTGAAGTTTTTGTGGAATGGTCTAACAGGTTCGAGTGACTCAAAGACAACCATGAAATCTAATTTCAAATACTTCAAAAATTTTTATACTCAGACTCTCAAGGGGCAGGGTATAATTCAGTCGGTTTAGATCGACTCAAATGTTTTTACTTATTTTAATTTTCAATAGTTCTCTTTTAAAGACAAATTGATTTCGCATATAAAATGGTTGACTAATTTGTCTATGAAATCGAATACATTCGTTACTAATAATTTTTTGTAACAATTTTATAACACATTGTATGCTTTAATTTATATTTAGTATTTAAAAAAAAATCGGAAAATTTCATATAAAATTAATTTCGTATCTTTAATAAACAGAATCCATTAATCTCAATTGAATAATAGGATTTTTTTTTAAAGTGTACCTACTACATACACATAAAATGTTTTATTTTTTTTTTTTTTTACTGTGCAGGAAAAAAAGGATCACATTTAAATCTTATTAAAGAAAATTAAATTTTATTATCGAAAATTATTCAAGAATAATTTACTTCTATAAAATAATAATTTATAAAAGGATATTATGTTAAGGATTTTTTTTATATTATGTAACAATGGAAGTATATAGAATCTGTATGTATATAGAACAAGTTCCAATAAAATAATAAATAATACATTTTTTTATTGAAAGGAAAATGAGAGTTTTTCTCTTTTTTTTTTTTGATTGAATACTTTGATTTTTTAAAGGCAAAAATTTAAAAAAAAAATGTTTACAATTGAATGATTATTTTTTTTTTGGTATAAAAATTTATAGGAAAAAGAAAAGGAAATTTGAATTAGAGGTCTAAATTTGAAAGGATATAGAGAATAAAAAGAAAAGAAAATGCAACAAATAAAATAAAATTCGAAAAAATTTGGGAGGACTTTGAATATTGTCTAAATTATTCAACTTTTTATTTACGTAGGTGCTTTTCTATTTTTATAACAGTTTTGAATGATTTAGAATATTTGACCTTAAAGATATTTTCTATATTTAAATTTAAACTTGTAAATTTTGAAATAATTTTATTTTCAAATATAAAAGATAACATGCGAAGCATATTAAAATTGTTATTATATAACAAAAACGTGTATGCATTCCATGGCTGACTATAGGGTGAAAAATCAAAAGTGTTATTAATACAAAATAGTTCCTTATATAATGAACTAAGCCCTCTGGAAGAAAATTTTTACCTAGCACACTCCCATGCCAAACGTTATGGTCATCAAAATGATTTTTTGAACATAAGAAAAATTTTTAAAATTTTTTATTTGCAAATATTTTAGTGTAAGTTTTCTCTTTTATGGTAAACTGTAGAGGTCTTAAAATAAAGCATGTAATGCATAATATATCAATTGTTTATTTTCTTAACCACATTCTGGTAACACGTTTATCGATTTAAGGTGTTATCTTTTAATTATTAAAAATTAGAAAAATTTGAATTTTCGGCTTTTTACTAGTTTTTTAATTGAATCGAATTTTAATCGAATTCTTATGAAAGTAAAGGAATTTTAAAATTGAAAAATTGTACTTTGACTCTCATTGCATTATAAGTATAGAACAGCACATACACGTTGATATGTTAACAAAATACATAATACATACATAATGTTGAATAGTCTTATGTTAGTAACCTATACTATATTCGAAAAAGAGTTTACTCTATGTTTCTATCTACTGTTTTACTTTTAATATTAGTGTGATCCAAATTTATTTGAAACAGTTTTAATAAACTTACAAATAACATAGACTAATTACATGTAAGAATAATTAACTATGTGTTAATATTTTTATGAAATTTTCAAAATTCAATAGTTTTAGTACTTATTATATAAAAATATGAAAGCACATAATTACAATCATACGTATGTTTTTATATAATAATAAGTCTTAGGAATTTCATCTTTGTTTATACCCCAGGATATTTATCAATTATATAACCTTCAATTTTCAAGTTACATAACTTTTAAACAAAATATTATTAATTTTATTTAGTGTTTACGGGTATTAGATCTGCAAATCCATTTTATTTTTTTATTTTGTTATATATTTGCTTAAAATGTGAAAATATGATTTCAAATACTTGCTCAACACAAATAAAATATAAATTAAAAGTGTTTCTATCAGAAATTTGATATTTTTTTCATACAACAATATTTTTATTTGTTATTCTTTGTAGATTCACATAAATATTTCCTTTTGTTATAAACATATGTATATACATACATGATGTATAACATATACAGTGTTTTTTCAAAATTAATTTGCTTTTGATATTGATTACCTGTGTACTTAGCACAGTGCACAAGTTCGATATGTGAAATAATGTACAAGGATGTCAACATTTGATGGTCTTCTTCAAGTAGCTTACAATTTAACTGAGTCAGACAAGAATTTGAATTAGTGAAAAACACTGAGTTAAAATTAATCAACAACATTTTTTCAGTTGTGCCCTTCTTTTTCGAGTTGTTGGATTTCAAAGTTATACAGAAAATGTGACATATTTTCATTTTAAAGCTTTTGGCATACTCTTTTTAGCATGAAATTTCCATTTACATTTCATCAATATTGTTTTTTAAAGCCAAATATACCCATTTAGTACATCATATACATTGATTGTTCCACATAGAGCCGCGAATATCTAATTAATTAACTGATTTATACACAATTAAGTAAGGCGTTTTACTAAGCAATTTAAATAAAATCTTAATCTAATTGGTATCCTTAATTGGCAAATGTTGTCGGTGTCTTTATTTGACTTAAATAATTCGCTTAAATAAAGAAATACGACAATTTATACAGGTTACAATTTTATGAGGCATTCTTTTAGCTAAGAATATTGTAAAGATTCGGAGGTTTTAATTTGATATTATTCAAAACTTTTAGGTTTAATTTTCATTATTTTTTATTTACTAGCATCTATTAACAGAGATTTATTCTTATTACAATAGGTACAATTAGTCAACAGTATAACAACTTATAAGTATAAATTTTGGGTTTTAACAAGTCATTTCAGGAATTTTATAGAAATGCACAGTTATGATCAATTATAGGCTTAATAACGATAGCGATATCTGTACCTTTTAACAGTCTTATAATGATATCCATCATCTGCTAAAATATGAGCTGGTTCAGGTTCTGGAGCAGCTGATAAAATTGGTTCTGGAGCTGGTGCAGGGATTGGTGCTGGTTCTGGAATTGGAGCTGGTAAAGGAGCAGGAGCGGGTTCTGCTGGTTCTATTACTGAAGAAGCAATTTCTTCTGTTTGAGGTGGTAAGTATTCTGATGCTGGTGCTGGTGGTGGTGGTGGTGGTGGTGGAGGAGGAGCGGGTGCAGCCGCAACTTCTTCATGTTGGGGTGGTAAATATTCTGGAGCTGGTGCTGGTGGTGGTGCAGCAGCAATTTCTTCGTGTTGTGGCTGATCATAATGATATCCACCAGCTTCAGCTAGATGTGACACATCAGCAGCAGCAACAGCAAAACACGCAAATGCAATCAAAAAGAATTTCTACAAATTTTAAAATAAGTATATAGTTCTGATGTTATAGGGATAATTTAAATTATTATACCATTTTGCAAATAAAATAATCCTTTTCTTTCAGATCAGTTGACTCCAAAACCAAAAATGTTGATTTGATGTTGATCAGTTGTATTACATCAATATTTATACTAAAAAGAGAAATCGTAATGATTATCTATGAGCATGCATTTTATAACATTGACCTTACAAAATAATTGAAATTTTATCCACATTAATGAATATATAATGACAAAATAAGTTAAAAAGAAAAATTATTTAATATGTAGAGTGAAATGAAAGATAAACTAATTGAACTGTGAGGGAAAGAGAGGCTTTTGATCATAATTTGTAATAAATTTGATTTTGTTAATTAATTAAATATTTCGTTAAAATTTTTATATTATTTGATTTTGTTTTTAAATTTGCATTATCAATGATTGAATTTTTGATTTGAATTTAGCATTAACAACCTATAATTGGAGAATCTTACATCGTATTACAGAAATTTTTGTAAACGAAGCACTACTTTTCCAATTACATGAGCTGTTTGAAACTTTTACTGGTTTTGATTTTAGGACGTTTTCTTAAATAAACCAAATCTTGTGTTAAAATTTGAGTAAGAATGAGGGTAACATCAATCTTTATTCCTTATGCAATGAAACCTTACCAGACTTTATGCAATCAACTTTTTGTAATGCCCATGATGTTAAGTATTTTAATATAACAAAAATTTATTTAAAATCGGAAGAAGTTTTACTTAAAGCGATTTATTTATTTAATCACTATCAGATGGCTGCTTAATTAAAGATTTTATATATGTTGGTCGAGTATAATAAGAAATGAGGAATTATAAGGGTCAGAGTAAGAAGAGAGGAAGAACAGATTGAGCTATCTAGATGGTATTAAAATCTGAAAGAATGTCTAGAGGGGATTTTTATGTCCGGATAAAAATGAATGTGAACAATTGTAAGAGAAACTAATGCGAAAAATTGTAAGAAAACTAATAGGAAAAACATAAACAGAAGTCAAAACAATGATCTGACGTCAAAACACAGTATGATTGAGAGACAATGTGAAATTCCATTGTTACCCTAGAGAATGAATAAAGGGAAAGAAAATATATCGAAGATGCTTCAAAAACGTGTAATGCAAAAAAGCTAATTGTATTAGAGTTGCGATTGCTGTTCATAACATTTCATTTATTTATATAGACTTTAAGAATGTTATGTGATATTAATTCGTGTGGTTAATGCTACAACTAGATAACTTGAAAATTTTATATTTTTAGATAATTATCCTAGGCGTCATAACATCGATTGCTCTTTCATATGAGACCAAGATTTAAGCTTAAAAGTGTTCTTTCATATCTGAAAATTATAACGCCAAAACTAGATATCTTCATGATAAATTATTTGTTATTGCTAAATCTTTAAAAGTCAATATCTCTAAACGAATAATTGCGAGTTATCTATAGTTGTAGCATTTACCTCACGAATTAAAATTAGTATTGTAAGTTATATTTTACAATTTTTCTAGTGTTAATGAATGTAAATCAAAAAGAAATAAGGTTAATTTTCTCAAATCTATGCTTAAAAGTAAAGAAAACTTCTATAATTTCAGTTATTAGCTCTCATAAAATTTATTGTCTTTATTAAATAATTGACATGAAAAACTTCTGCATTATATAACATTTTTGACGCGCAGTTATTCATTCAATAGCATCAAATTTTAGCGGGAAAAAGTATCCAATCGAATGCCTGAAAAAGTGGTTTTAAACGATAAAAATTTTTTTTTATATTTTTTATCAAATTTATAAAAAATATTATTAAATTATGTAGGAAATAATCATTTAAAAATTGAATCTATCGCACAACCTTTGTATTTTATCAATATTGTTTGTTGGTATTAGGTTGTCTGGCTTGTTTTTTATAATTTCTTTTTTTTTGATGATATTTTCTTCAATGAACACTCATATAATAAAAAATATTTTAAATTAGATTGAATTCATACTGCCATTATAATATGGACGCACACACGGTAAATTTTACACATTTGCTAATTTGTTTGTTTTTTATTACATGAGACCCGTTTTAATGAGTAACGTTATACATGCATCTTATATCTCTTAATTGATTGAATCCGATAATATTTAAGTATTATAAAATTATTGATGATTATTTAAACAATATTAAGCAAAAATTGCTTGTGTATATAAGTATATGTAAATGTGTTTTTAATATTAATAAAAGAGATTTTACAGTTTATTATAATTTTTTTTTTATTGTTTTCTATTAATAGAGCTCTCTTATATAATATAAGATCCATATATATATATATATATATATATATACATAAGTATTTGTCTAAATCAAATTATAAGCTCTGTAGTAATGATAAATTAATAAAAAATAACAGAGAAATTAATTTGAATTTTAAATTAATTTATTTATTTAATGGAATTAAAGTTCAAGTTCAAGTTTATCTAAGAGATGCGGCGTTAAAATTCACACTAAGACCAATAGAAAAAAAAACCTATTTTGTTTTTTTTTTTAATTTCTAGAAATCTCTTGTTACATATACTTGGAGTATAATACTTAAAAGTCAACATTATACTATAAAATATACTTGATTTATTAAAAAAATATTTTTTCGGTTAAAACTATTGATGTTTTTTTATGAATATTTTTCAATATAAATTTTAGTATCGGCTTACAGTCTTTGCTTTATTCTATGATTCTTATTCTTAGTTTGTCAAAATTTCTTAATAAGCGTATAGTTAAATTAGATTTGTTCTTCTAATAAGCTGCAATCGCTTTGAATTCGGTTACAATTTCGAGTAAAGGCCTTTATAAATCAATTATTTGCTGAATATTAGACTTTATTTAATTTGTTAATTTTTAAACAATTAATATTAAATTGTAATTTTAACAATAATGGTATTTGAACTGAATAAAAATTCTTTGATTTTTTTTTTGTATATGTGTATCTAATCGAATTGTTATTAATTTTTATTTTATCTAATGTAAATCAACAGATAAATAATAGTTATAAATAAAAACAATATGTTTTTGTTTTTTTTTGTTTTTTTTTTTGGTTAAATATAGTCAACAATAATTATAACATTAGCACTTTCTTATGGATTTTTAAAAATTATTTAATAACGATAACGGTATCTGTATCTTTTAACAGTTCTATAATGATATCCATCATCAGCTAATTCAGCTGATGCAGGTTCAGCGGCAATTTCTTCATGTTGGGGTGGTAAATATTCTGGTGCTGGTGGTGGTGGTGGTGGTGGTGGTGGAGGTGGAGCTGGTGCAGCAGCAACTTCTTCATGTTGAGGTGGTAAATATTCTGGTGCTGGTGCAGCTGGTACAGCGGCAACTTCTTCATGATGTGGTGGATCATAATGATATCCATCACTATTACCTAAGTGAGATACATCAGCGGCAGCGAAAGCAATGCAAGCGAGTACAACGAATAAGAATTTCTATAAATAAGAAATTTTAAGTGTAAATTAAACTAATTATTTAATTATTTTTTAATTAGACTTTACCATTTTTAATATTTTTGTTTACGATTTTCTGATTTAGATTTGTTATCTCTAAAATAGAAGAAGATGATTTGATGCTTTACCAATTGTAAGCTTCTGTATTTATAGTTGAATCAAAGAAGTTGTTATTATTGAAATTATGCATGGATTTTATGCAAATATAACAATTCTTTCTTTTTTTTTTTAATTTTTTTGCAAATAAAATTTGGGCCAATATATGGCTATAAATGAACGGAAATCATAAATATTTAACAGTATTTTTGAAAAATCGGAAGAAACCAAAGATATTCGCAAAAAAAGAAAAAAAAACGTAGACTAAATTTTATGCGTAAAATTTAATTTTCATTGTTATTTTCGTTATTAACTTCTGTTTTCCATACTAATATTATCAAAATATTTTTTTGAAGGTTTATAAATATGCAAAAAATGTTTCTATAGTGATATTTTTGTTCAAATTGTGCTAAGCAAAAAACTATATTATAAAATGCACTTAAAAGTCTATTTTCATAAAAATTTGAGAGCAAAAAATAATCAATAAATTTTGATAATTAAATAAAGGTTAATATTAATTATAAACTTAAAAAACGAGTTTTGTTTCAAAGGCTTAGTCGTTTTGTACTAAATTAGATTTACTTCCGCACCTTCTAAGGGTTAAAGATATAAAATTTTCTAAGAATGCAATAATAATGTTCTTCTTCTTCTAAAATACAAAATAAGTACACAAAATTGAAAACAAGTCTTCTTGTACAGAGTACTCTAGCAAATAGAAAATTTAAAATAAAATTTCAAAAAGGTAGAAAGCTTTTAAAACTTATCTTCAAAAGTATACCTTTTTTCGCATTTTAAAGGTAACTTATATTTAGTAAAATAGCTTAATTAATGCTCATGTTAAGTTAAGAAGTATATTTCAAACCCTAAATATTAACCATTTAGCCTATGCCTTACCATTTTGACTATTTAATGAAATAAGTGAATATACATCAATTTGTTCCACTAAATTCACAATTTATCAATACTTTAGCAACGATATAGCAACGATAATTAAAATTTCTACCTGACTTTGAAATGTACATATAATTTAGAACGTACTAATTACTACCTAAGAAATAGAGGTGCGAAAATTTAGAATAAATTTCAATAAAAGAGACTTTGCAATAAATTGCATTGAATCGTAAAATTTCATAGCTCTACCCTTAAAAATGTATCAGGTACTATTAAAATTCATCACAGTTAAACTGTTATTAATCAAACATTAATATCTTCTTCTTTGGTTGAAAATTTAGATAACTCGTTTCTTGAGAAACAAGATATAATAAAACTGGATCAAACCTATGGTTTGTAAAATAGCACTTTACTATTTGACAATTGAAAATACTGCTTTTAAAAACAATCTAACTATGTACTACATTATTAAAATCACTTTCATTCATATACGAAAATATTTCAAAAATTGCATACATTTAGGATCATCAATATATTTAATCATTAAAATAATACAAACAAAAAAATTTAAAGAGGCGTTAACATAATGCTCGAATTTATGGGTTAATTGCGTGACTTAAGGAAAATATTTATATATTTTTATGGCAGTCACCGTTCTGCATTTGTAGAAATTTGCAGTTTCGGAAATATAAGGTGTCAAAAATTCATATTCTACAAATTTCGAGAGCCGATAACTTAAGAGGAGGTGAAGGGTGAAAAAAATATTCTTCTAGAGGGTGAAAAAAATATAAACTTTTAGTCAAGAACTAGTTAGGTATGAAATTTCAGCTTTTGGGTGTAGAAGTTTTGTGAATATATCCACGAACGAACGCACGCAGTGAAAATAATAAGCATACTTCTTTTTCAAAATTTTGAAAAAGTGCTAAAAATTTAATTGCTCTTTTATTCATTGCTGGAGATAAATAAAACTGAGAACACAGACGCAGTTTAATATACTAGTAAGAATATTTTATGAGAAATTTATCGAGGAAAACAGCGAAGCATTCCAGATACAGTCGAACTAAGATCGCATGATCATCAATTTCTAACTGTTTATAAATTTGAAAATTAGTATAAACTATGTTTAACGAGTTCTAATATAGGAAAAGCTTAATATGTATTTGGATGTTAAATATTAAAATGCCCTCAAGAATAATTTGCTTTGTACATTCAATTTTAATTAGAGAATATTACGCTTAGACTCGGCAATTTACAAAGAAAAATGTTAATAAAAGTAAAGCTTCTACCGTAACTCTCACTCTTTTATTTTTGACTTTTCAAGCTTTTTCGTTTTAGTCAATATTAAATCGATTAAATTTAAATTATTATAAACAGAAAGTCCCACTTGGAGAACGTTTCCAAATTTTTAAGCTAGAAAATAAATTAAATGCTCGCTAAGTAAACAAAAATGAGTTCGAACTTATGGCCATGGGTCTTTGAATTTTTTTATTTTCAGCTTTGAGTGAAAATGTTGAACACTTGATTGTTTTAAAAAATTGAATCACTATTTTATTTTATTAATAGACCACTTATAACGCAGTTATGGCAAACATTTATTGCTCTTTGCAACAAATATTATTCAAACAAAATGTTTGAAAATTTTCCAATAATTTTAAAATAGAATTAAATTACAAATTTTAAAATAGAATTTAAAAAGAAAATGAAATATCCTTTTCTGTCGTCGTTATGTAATCATCGCTTGTTCTAAAGTGAATAATAAGTTTCACATCCTATACAAAATTTATGAAAACTCTCAATTTTAATTAAAAAACATTTTTATTTTTATTTTGTGTTTCTCAATAAAATAATGTTCAAGCGTTCTCATCTATAAATAATTAAATCATAATCGCTTTCTTTATATACCTACATATATACACAAACATATATGTATATATGTGTATATTTTGACAACTTTATTATTATTCTTTTGTCGTTATAATTAATGTTGGAGTTTCAGCGAATAAGACCATTTAATTGCACTTCAATAAAAAGCACTGTAGGTGGTTAATGGGAAAAAATTAATTTCAATTGTTTTTAAAATTAAATGATACAATCAAACAAATAAACGAATTATAGTAAGTCTTTTATTATATAGGATGTTTGGTATTGTTGTAATTGATTGTAGCAACCTAACCGTCGTTTTTATGGGATGTTATGAATGAGCAGATTATAATTGCAATACAAGATAAAAAGCAATTATTATGATATTTTTGGTAAGCATTAATAATAATTTATTCGTAAAATAGAAATATTTCGAAAATGAAATCGCTCTTGAATGCAATAGGTACAACAAATAAGATTTTTTCAGTTTTATTGTCATAAAGATTGTGTGATAGAACTGGTATAAGTATACGGAACCAATTAATAGTCTTAGATGTGATAAATTATTTGAATAAACTAAGAATAAAATTTGTAATAATGTTTTTCACATCAATGATCAGTGATTTACTTAATATGGTTATACAAGTTTAAAGTACCACCTCACTATCGACTCCTGCATGAATTCACAAACATGGAATATCTTCTACCATTTGTCTAATGTTAAAAGTTATCTAAAAATCATTTTCTCGTTATTATTGCATTTATGAAAAAATTATTGAAATTAAAATTAAAAGAATTAGTGTAGTTTTTTTTTTTGTCTTTTTTCAAATTAAATAATCAACAATAATTATAACATTAGCACTTTCTTATAGATTTTTAAAAATTATTTAATAACGATAACGGTATCTGTATCTTTTAACAGTTCTATAATGATATCCATCATCAGCTAATTCAGCTGATGCAGGTTCAGCGGCAATTTCTTCATGTTGGGGTGGTAAATATTCTGGTGCTGGTGGTGGTGGTGGTGGTGGTGGTGGTGGAGGTGGAGCTGGTACAGCAGCAACTTCTTCATGTTGAGGTGGTAAATATTCTGGTGCTGGTGCAGCTGGAACAGCGGCAACTTCTTCATGATGTGGTGGATCATAATGATATCCATCACTATTACCTAAGTGAGATACATCAGCGGCAGCGAAAGCAATGCAAGCGAGTACAACGAATAAGAATTTCTATAAATAAGAAATTTTAAGTGTAAATTAAACTAATTATTTATTAATTTTTAATTAGACTTTACCATTTTTAATATTTTTGTTTACGATTTTCTGATTTAGATTTGTTATCTCTAAAATAGAAGAAGATGATTTGATGCTTTACCAATTGTAAGCTTCTGTATTTATAGTTGAATCAAAGAAGTTGTTATTATTGAAATTATTCATGAACTTTATGCAAATATAATTTTTTTTTCTTGACATTTTGCAAATTAAATTTGGGCAACAACAATTCAATTACTATAAAATAAAACAAAACGAAAGACAGATAACGCATAATTAATTGCTGATACAAGATGTATACAAGATGTAGACAAAGAAAGAATTGAAATAAATAAAGAAAGGAATGAGATCGAAAGAGAAAAAGAAATTCAGATGGTAAGTAAGAAGGTTTTTGATAATTGAGGCAAGCAGTGAAAGTTCTAAATTAAATCTTAACAGCCTTCTAACACAAGCTATAAACCTGCAGAAACTGAATATTTTACTTTACCAAATTTTGTAATATGCAAAATTGTATGGTAAAATACTCATATGGTGAACAGCAAAAACGGACGATTTGCGTTGTTAACTCAGAACAAGAGCGAAATGGTAAAATCAACTTGGAACACATATTCCAGACACATGGAAACAAATAATGTCAAAAAAAAAACCGCCCGCGGTAAAATATTAAAATACACATAAACGGATATTTGAATGGGATTATGGAAAACCCCATTTAAATATGTATTTATGTGTATTCTGAATTCTGACATTTCACTGCGGAAAATCGCTCTTATTTTGTTTTCACTTTAATTCGTCAATATTTAAAAGAATTAAAGATTTTCTTAGAACTTTTAGCACAAGTGCTATTTTCAAAAATGCTGTATTTGCAAATTTTGTAGATTGAATTTATCGAATGTTCTTTATAATAAGTTAGATAACTATCGAATGAACCTTTAAATTTTGAAAAAACTCATTCAATTATCTTACATGAAAGCAGGAGAACTTATTCTTGAGTATATAATCCTACGTTTATTCTTAGAGTTCTGACAATAGGTAAATACTGTTTTTTCTAAATTAATGTTTTATATTTTAAAGAATTCTCATCTGCACTTACAATTCTGATCTTGGCAAAATCTTAGATATTCGTTATATACCCTGCACCTTCGTAATGGCTATATTAACATTGGTATGTGGTTTGTAACCACTTGAAGGAGTCGTCTCCGATATGGATATGTATATATGTATATATTCTTGCGAAGTGAAAAAAAATTGCGTTGATTTAGAGATGTTTGGTACTTCGGTTTTTTCCGATCGCAAAATAACTCAAAAACTAATAAAGCAATCGACACCAAATTTTTATAAGTTTCTTCTTTTCTGCCAAGGATGGCTGCTATTGCAATTGGGCTATTTCGGACAACGAGTTCTGGTAGCTGCCATATAATTCAAAGAGGTTTTGTTTAACAATATTTCTAAAACTAATTGAGGTATTAATATCAAATTTTGCAAAGGTGTTTGCAATTACATTTTATACATGTTCTAAAAACTTTAATTTAATAGCTGCACTGGATCGGGTAGTTGCTATACAACTCTTTAAGGAAATTTTAAATATTGCGAAAAATAATAAAGCTAAATTTAATTATTAATTTATAAAGAAATGGCTTGAAAGGTTCGGATAGCTGTCATACAATTCCAAAAGGAAATATTAGTTATTGGAGAAAATAACAAAGTCATGAGACTTAATAGTTTTGTGTTAAATTTTTCAAATCATTTACAGTTTTTCTATACACCAATTTTATGGGTAGGATGTTAGTTTTATTCTAGTGGTTCTCGTATTATATGGTCCACCCAGTATTGCACGTCTATGGCCGGTCAGGGTTATATCTTGAATCTTGAGAATCTGTAATATCTATAGCTCTCGACTTCGTCTATATGCCATGGCTTATAGATGACATACTTAAACATATTAGGATATAATATTATGTCTTTATCAACTTACCTTCGGTTAATAATATTCAACCGCGTACCTGATGGACAGCATAAAAAAATACAAACAATTGAAGCATCCTTAACTGCAAAAGCGCACATGGAATTTTTTTTTGAATTTTTTATCATTAGCAATATGTTTTTCCATTCAAATTTAAGTTTTAAATAGCGTCTGTAAGAATATGGTTTTTATGTTTTTAAATTTATATGGCATTTGCTTTTAACCTTCTAATGATATTTTCACAATATTTTTCCTCCATTGAAATCTTTTTGAATTGATAGTTTTGGAATTATTAATTTAAAAGTTTTCCTGTTTGTATAGAGTAGGATTTACAAAGAATTTAGTCGAGAATTGATTAATTCTGACAGATATCTCATAACTGACAGATACGAGTATGTTAGCTTAAACATCAAAAGATTTTAGAACTACATATAAAAATATTGTATATTTGACCCGTACTTAAATACAAATCTAAAATCTATATTTCTCATTTAATAATTTTATATGCAATAGTAGATGGTGGGGAATATTTTCCATTAGTACGCTCGATAATCTATATTCTTCAATATCCAGCAATACGTTATTGCAAAACAACGAACTGTATTTAATGAAGACCTTGGAGACCAAAAATAAAAATTACATCAAAATTTCAATTCTCAATTCATGCATTTAAATAATTTTGTAGTGCACATCTTGGAAGACTATAGTATTACGAAGCACGGCCGATTTTTAAATACTTGCATAAGTACTTTAGGGATGCTTTGATCAGTATAAAGCAGAAAATTTCAAAAGATATTCTTCTATTAATATCATTATAATTTTTTATGAATTAAATCTTTTGATATTTTAACATTTGCGTAGAACTACCTACGTGCGTACTCAAAATTAAAAATTACATAATGCGTATATCAGAAATATTTAAATTTCATTTATTGGAAAAAATTTGTTTTGCTCGAAATAAGAACATTATCGCTGAAAATATATGTCTGTTACTCGGAAAAAATACGCACTTCATCAAAGTCGATTTGTTTTTGTGTAAGTTGATTTTTAATTAAGCTTTGATTAGTTTACTAGGTAAACGCGTGCCAAATGTTGTTGTAATCAGTAGAAAGGCAGATCTTTAATTTAGTTTTTGGTTAATAAAGTTTCAATTATTGATATGAAAGTATGTTGGATGAAAGTATTGTGGACACTATCACGTAGTAAGTATAATCAATTATGAATGAGGACGTATTCAAAATTTATAAAAATTGAGTGTAAATAAAATAATTGATTTTAGTTTTCTGAATTAACAATATATTTTTTTTTATTTTTTCATACATATTTTATAGTGATTTGAGTAAAATTTTTAACATGTATATTAAAAAAATCAACTATGATTAATTCTTTTTTGGTTTAAGCTTTTGTTATATATATAAAGAGATTTTGTTCTATTATAAGAGAAAATTTCTCTTAAAATATTTAATGACGGTAACGGTATCTTAATTTTTTAACAGTTCTATAACGGTAACCATCACTAGCTAATTCAGCTGATGCTGGTTCAGCGGCAACTTCTTCATGTTGTGGTGGTAAGTATTCTGGTGCTGGTGCTGGTGGTGGTGGTGGAGGTGGAGCTGGTGCAGCAGCAACTTCTTCATGTTGAGGTGGTAAATATTCTGGAGCTGGTGCAGCTGGAACGGCAGCAACTTCTTCATGATGTGGTGGATCATAATGATATCCATCACTATTACCTAAGTGAGATACATCAGCGGCAGCAAAAGCAAAGCAGGCGAGTACAACGAATAGGAATTTCTAGAAATACAAATATTATAATAAGTATGTGAGCAAATATGATAGATATTAGAAGAGATAAATTATTTATAAAATCCATATTTACCATATTGAAATATATGATTTATTTTCTGTTTTTTAGATTAGTTAACAATAAAACCTTAGAAGATGTTCTGATACCTAACAAAGTATTTCAAATCGTATTTATAGTAGTGTCGCAATATATTTTTTTTAATTAATGTACGAATTTTATGCTAATATACTTAAACATCTGTTATTATTTTATAATGTCCAAATTTGTAACAATTTTTTTGTTTCCTCCGCACTATAATATGATGAATAAATTAATTAACAACCATTTTTAAATGTCTTTTCCACAAAAAAAAAATTGCTAATGGTTAGTCGATAAACTAAATGCACAAAAAATAATTTTTTTTTGTCACCAAACTATGCAACGATTTATACTCTAAGTTTTTTTTAAACCATAGTTTAATTTCAATAATCGATTTTCAAGATCACTTAATTAATTTACTTAGTTTGGTACGCAAATATGTTTTCCGAAGGCAGACAAAAAAAAAGTAGGAAGGTATGTCAACAATGAATATTTATAAAGGGCTGTTTTTTTCGCTTTGATTAATTGAATTTTTTAAGGAAATAGTTTTAAAATGATTTTAATATGTGCATATCTGGCATGGGAAAATTTTGCAAAAATGAGTGTTGAGCTGAAAATTTAGAGGGTAAGAATACAATTAAGAATTATATTTAACGTAAAATTTTTTTGCTTGTGAAAAAATTTTTACATACCTTGTGAAAGAAATTATTATCGAAGGAAATGAGCCTGAAACGAAAGCCTGTGAGCAACAGTCTTTTACAATAAGAACTTTTTTATAGAATTACCCTATAAATCGTAAAAAAATTAAAAATTTTATGAAACCAAAAAATATAACCTTTGTACATAATCTCTTTGAATCGAAGTTAACTCAAGAATTCCTTAAAAAACGACAAATGAACAGACAGAAAAACCGGCAGACCAAAATCTCCCTAAAAATATCTTTATTGTAAAGACTTACATAAAAAATACGACGTGTGAATTTGAATGCTACTGATATTACTTTCTTATTTGATAGAACGTGTTTGCTAATAATAAACGGATCTCCTTTTCCTGTTTTTTTGAAACACAATATCAAAACTCCGAAACTAAAGTTTTCAACTTAAAATTTAAAACAAGCGTTCAAGGAATATTTTCAAAATTTTTACAAAATATATTGAATAATTTGTCTAATAACTTAACATTTACTTTGGCAAAGTAAATATTAAGTTAGACTACTAATTTGTCTAAATTATTAACATTTGCTTAAGAAAATTTACAAAATCAAAATCGATTATTTGGTGTTATTGACCGGAATTTAGCTTAATTTAATTTCTTAAATTTTTTAATTTTTAATATTCTGAGTTTTTTGACTGATAGCCTTAAGTCATATATTATATCCATTATATTAAATAATGGATATTACACATGGATTATAAAATTGTTTATTTGTTCTTAAGAATCCTCTCATATTTTGTATGGGACAAATTACTAACAATTAGTATTAGTAAAATAATTATTATTTTAATTAATTATGTTTAATATTCGATAATCTGTTTTATGTTTATAATTGCAAAAATACAAGTACAAATATAATTTTGATAAATATTATAATTGAGACTAAGCATTCAGGTCTTATTAATTAATTATTTAGTATTAAATAATAGTTTATTAGAAATAATTATCGGAAATTAATCAATTTAAATTTTCTTTCAATTATTTTTGATAATTTTAACATAATTTTAAACTAAAACATAATTTTAAACTTAAATAAAATTTTATAAATTCATTTATGAAATAAAAGCAAAGTTTACAAAACTTTATTGATAATTAATATAAGATATTGACAAGGTTAATTTTTTATGTTTTTTGCCCATTTCCAAAAAAAATTTTGAAAAAATGTGCCAATTAGTTTTGTTGTGCCTCTCAAATATTTCTATGGTTTACAAAATTTCTTATATACCGTTCGAGATAGCAAAATGAAATTTTGAGAACCACTAGATCTTACTAGTGAGCACATTATTTCTTTAGATTTTAGAATAAAATTAACTTTCGGAGCAGTTTTTCCACCACTAAACAACTTGAATGTTTCTCTTATCTGACAATTTATACAAGTAAATATCGATAAACATGTTATTTCTTTTCGGACAAAATTTTATTCTTATTCTTTCCTTTCCACATTACCCTTCAAAGTTTCGCAAAGTATCAATTTTGGGTCCCTTATTTCTTCGTTGCTATAAACTATATCGAACTTCTATAAAAAAAACAAAAATGTATCAGAAATCGTCCTCCTAAACTATAGGAGGACGATTTCTGTTACATTTTTGCCTTAACAAGCTTTAAGTTAGTATAAAAATTATAATTGTAAAATTTCCCCCAAATTTATGCAAAATTATATGGTAATATTATGATAAGAAAATTTCAATAGATTGTTAAAAAACAAGTTTTAGTTTTATATTGTTTTTTTTATATTATAAAATGTGCTATTTTGAAAACCATAGGTTTGATCAACCACATTTTCAATTTAATTTCTTGCAAAAGTATTTGCACATTTAATTAAATTTCCTAATTTGTGTTATACAAAATCATATAAAATTGTTTATTAAATTTAAATTTTTATAATTTTAATAATTTAAAATCTCTAAATAAATTATTCATATGTTTTTGTAACAAATAAACATTCTTTATAATGAAAACTTAAATTTAATAAGTCGAAACAAATTTGAGCTTTTGTTTACTTAATTATATAAGTTTTGAACGGTCTTATTATTTCATAAAATATTCAATTAGCAAATTCATGTATGTAAATATAACACACGCGCACACGCGCATCTACTATAGTGTATGTAAAACTCTATCAGAGAAAAATTTTAAGTTTTGAAATTTTCAGGGTTACGTCTACGTTTTATAAAGATATTAGTCAGATTAAAAATAAAACAAAATACCAATACTCTAAAGCAGAAACAAAACTGTATTTTAAAAAAATTTGCATAAAACATAATTAATTTTAAAGAAAGCAAAATAAACAAATTAATAATTCAATACCGTAATCGGTAACAAATATTTAAATTTTGCAAATTTATTAATGAGAAAGATCAATGGAAGTATTAATAAGTCAACTAAGTATTGCTTATTATAATAAACATGAATGAATGAAAGTGATTGAACTTAGGCTAAATTTTTTATAACATAATTGAAAGTGTAGTGTTGACAGAGGTTCGTATTTGAAAATTGATGATTTGGTTACATATTATGTATATATGTTAAAATATTGTTTGCTGTTATTTGACTGTGAAATGCATAGTAACGCGAACAAATTAAAATAAGCAAACGGAAAAATAATGCTATAAAAAAATAATCTACAGATATTCACACTATGTAGTGAGTTCACAAATGGAGTGAATTAATTTCACTTTGGTTATTGTTGATTTGTGTTGATATATTTAGGAAAAAAAATATTTTTTCAGTTGGACTTTGATCACTCGATTACGCTACATTACTTTTATAGCAGAAACAAATTAGGAAAACCATGTTAAAACATTTCAGTCGGTATAAACCAAAAAATTAAATTTTTTTACCCTCTCAAGGACAGTGACATGTTTCCGATTTAAAATTCTAAAGCTGTTCTGCTATGATTATTAAATTTTTGCTCTGATGACTTAATCAAAGTATGAACATATTTGCAGATTTCCAATTCATTCTAATTATTATTTTGGGCCAAATGAAGAGTATTAATTATTATTTTGGCCCAAATGAAGAGAATCAAAGTATCCAAAAAAATTTGTTATATAGTAAGCATGCTATAATTTTTTATAGCAACATTATTCCTATCCCAAATGTCTTTCCATCAATAAAGTTTAATTTTACCTATTTATTTTTTTTTAATTGGATATCATTTTCAAAGTACATCCAATAAATTATTGGTGATCCTAAATTAAAAATCAAAATATTTAATAACATAAGTACAACCTTGAATATATATTTATAAATTTTATATAATATAAAATATTCTATAAAATATTCTGTTATGTAATTTTAAAAAGGTATATAAAGTTATAATAAAATGTCCTTAAGGACTTAAATATTTAATTTAATTTTATCTATAGTTACTTTAATGTAAAAGTTTTTAACCTTTTTAAGTATAGGTAAACATTAGGTCGTCATTTTCCTTAAAATTTTTATTTAATTACTCCTGTTTACAATTAATAGAAAAATTTCTTTTACACTAGGGACACAGGTAAATTGTTATACATATAAAGTTTTATAAAGGAATATAAAGAAAATAAATAAAATGTTTTGTCATTTTTTGTATGTGTAAAATCACAAAATATTATTGCATTAAATTTAAAAGTTTTAGAAGTTTTCTTAAATTGAATTAAATTTAAGGGTTAACATTTGTGCTATTACATAGCAAATAAATTATAAAATTCAAACCTTTTGAAGAAACCTTTTAACCTTTATTACGGAATGAATTTTAAAAACTTGCAAAATGAATTCTGTATGAGCTGATTTTTAAGTAAGATTGTTAATTTGAATTTATTTTGATTTTTATAAGAAGAATGTTTCAGTCGGCTTTAGCTTGTACTCCATATACCATAACAATTTGGCTATGAAATTAAAGTTTAGTGAGTCAGCTGAAAAGAAATTCTTTAATTGTGTATTAACTATAATTCTTAACTTTTTTACCAAATTTTATAGGGTTTTTTCAAGCAATTTTTAAAATACGTTTTAAAAATTTGCTTTTGGGGCAGTATGCAGGTACCCGTCCCTGTCAAGCTAACACACTAACAATTCTATAATATATCTGAGCTATAATTACACACTAATGTATGTATATCTTTATTAGTTTTTGAAATATTTAAAATATAATTGTTTTGGGGTTGTAAGGCTGTTCGCCGAAGCCGTTGTAAGAATTTGTCCGATTACAATAGCA